CATTTCAATTAACTGACTAATTGTTTCAGCTTTAGTTGCAAGTTAATGTTTATATCTGCATTTAAAAGGAAACGTGGCTAAAACTAATAATAAATAATAAAGATATCTTGAATGGAGAGAATGCCGACTCCAGTCTGCTAGAGGAGATTATACATGAATATTACCACGTCTACATCTAGATGATCTTGGGTAGATTTACATGTTTATGCATTTCAGTCTCATACAGTTAGAGTCTAAATATCCAGATAGTATTTGTTTCATTTGTTTTTTCAAAAGCACAACAGTGATATGTCCAGAACAGTGCACATGATCATCTTTACACCAATCACAGGTTTGCACTGGTAGCAAAGTTGACCTTCTTTCTGTTCGACATGGGTGTGAATCCTAGATTGAGACTAAATGAACCCAATTTCCAGCACTAGATGACTGAATCACCAGAGCAAGCTACTTTTAGTTTATCCAGCATGGCAGTCCATTAGCTTGCTTTTTCATCAATATGTGTGCTGCCTCAATGTTAAAAGTACTATATAAAATTATAACTAACTTTTTTTTTTTTTACTTAATATAAACATTTATAGTACATTATGGTTATACTGGATATTTCCTCATTTGAAAGTGGGTTATAACACAATTAAATAGACATAAACATCTGTAAAATTCAAATTTCAGCCCATCCTGCTGTATTTTCCTTTTAAATGTCGATTTAAATCACAGCATTTTTATCTCTTATTTCTTCCTTTCTCCAGCTGCTGACCTCCTTCTCATCCCTCTGGTTGTTGGAGTCTCCTCTGCCCTGTTTGTGGGCATTGTCATCATCGCAACAGTAACCTGCTGCTTTATGAAGCAACTGGCGAGGCAGCGTGCTCGAAAATAGCTGTGACCCGCTGTCTGAAATCTGAATGTTTGTGAAGAGGCAAAAAGAGGTGATGCGCAGAACATAATGGAAGAAATGGCAGAGAAATAACTTAAAGACAAAAAGATGTGAAAAATGATTTTCTGTGTTTTGACTTGTTTAACAATCAATGCCAAAATATTCTGTTTTATATTCTCTTGTATTTTTATATCCAAACCTTCTCTGAAAGCAGCATGTTTTAGTGATTGCTGCATCAGTAAGTGTAATATTCTAGACTTTTCACCACTCGATGACCCTTTCTCTGCTTCTCAAGTGGGCAAAGACTCTTTTTAGAGTCTATTTCCATGTGAGCCTAATCCACATTTTTTACTGATCCCTTTGTCTTAATCTGATTTAACTGAAAAAGGGTCAAAATACACAAGCAAGATTTTTGTGACAAGGTAAAAAAAGTAACAAAAGTAAAGAAGGTACTGCAGGTTTGTTTTGAGTCTCTCAGATGCGAGGACTCTCACAGATACTGTGAAAGTGTTGTTTCTATGTAAAGGCCAAGCAAACCGCCCTCTCAGAAGATTTGATTGTTATAGTAAAAAGGTGCCGGATGGTTCTCAGCCTGTCACATGTTTTGAATGATGCTGGATATGCAAATCATCCTGCATTGAATTACGGTTAAATTTTCACACAAAGAATATTCTGTGTTTTCGCAAAATTGTTGTTGCTGTTCCAGTTGTTCTTTCCTCAAGCTGCATGTTTTTCATTTATTACAAACAAGGTCTATATGTCTTTGCGTGGTTTAGCCTCTATTACTGCCACTGACGGTCACATGAATGCTGATGGGAGCAGTTCAGCCTCCAGAAACTTAATATGAGCAGGGACCTTCCACCGCTTGCAGTCCGGCACCACTCTGCATGTAAACAAAGTCTGTCTGTTACTTAATAAGGAAGGCGCTGGCTGGGGACTTTTTTGATGCCAAGACCAGTTGAGTACCAATTCTAAACACAAGCATTCCTCGCCTGTGACGCTTCACGCTGTAGTGAGTTTTCTATACGAACTGGTATAGATTTGAGAGACATGGAAAATATATCCATTATGCACTGAGCTAAAATGTAAATACTGTATGGAGTTTAGCTGTTTTATTTTTTTTAATGTAAGTAAGACGATGCTGTAGCGCCATGTTAGTCTTTGGCAAAGCACCCGTGTTTAACATTCTGCAGCAGTCTGTTCTGCTCTTTTGAACACAAAAATGGGACTGGGACCAAAGCCCCTTGGTATCCTTCTTTTACTTGATTTTCTTCCAGCTGAACAGTTTCTTCTTTTGCTATACTTGAGCGAGTTCTTTTGAGTGTTTTTTTTTTTTTTTGTGCTATTAATGGTTCCTTTGCTCTTGTCAAGTGACTAAGATAGAAAAACAGTACTATGAAAAACAATCCTGTGTTTGTTGCACTGAGTAACAAAAAAACTTTTGTGTTGGTGTCACACTGTCCCCGAGGTGAAAATTCCCAAAACAGTGCAGTCATATGACCTGAGTGTTTAGTTAAGTCTCACTGTCGTCATAGTTATCATGTGGCTCAGGCCACACATTTCTACTGCCAAGATTTATTATGATATAGCCCCGGCTGCTAGCCCACAGAAATCTGTTGGACAGATTTACTGTGTCTGCGCACTTATAATGAGTGAAATCCATCCTCCTCTTCCTGTTGAAAGTAACACTTACGAAAAGTTTGGTCACGAGAGTGTGCCCGCATTGTGTGATCATTTAAAGTTGGACACATGTGGAAAGGAAGGAGGAAAGTGAAGTTTGTTGTTATCCAACTTGTTGCACTCTCATGAGAGATTATTTCAGGTCATTTTTCCTGCTTTTCTAAATTTGTTTGCACTGAGCTACACTTTACTGTCTCAGTCTGTCTGTCTGTCTGTCTGTCTGTCTGTCTGTCTGTCTGTCTCCTGGTTGGTTTTCAATGCAAGAGTCCCTCTAAATCTGCCTGTCCTCCCTAACCTGCGCTCTAAACCCTGATTATAAATTTTGATCACGAACATTAGGGAATAAAATCACAGCTCTGCTTGCTTCCTGAGCCACTTTGTTCCAGATCAACTACTCAAAGCTGATTTGTTCCCCCACATACCCACCCACCACATGATTCCACACACACACACACACACACACACACACACACACACACACACACACACACACACACACACACACACACACACACACACACAGATGTACGTCCACACAGAGCAGCAGCAGCACAGTGCTGACTGACTGGCATTTTTGATGGAAGTAAGTGAGTATCTGCGTGTTCATCTCTAATCCCTGTTTATGGCTACAGCGTGTCCTGCTGCCCTTCCCCCTCTCTCAGTGTGCTACAGAGTCATTGTGGCTCCCATTCGGTTAATTTCAATCTCTGTTCCTTGAGAATAACAGCCAGCTGTAAAAAGTGTAGCACATAGCGTGCAAAGTAAGAAAGCTGCTGTCTAAGTTGTGCTTTTGTTTGAAGATGTATTAAACCCTTTCATGAAGGTTTTATGTTTTGTTTGGATTGTTTACTGATGCTTTGATACCACTTCTCCTGAATGCATCTTGCTGCCAATGAAATATATAAAGGCGGGTTATTGCTCAGTTTGTCTCATATGGTGCTTTGGCAAACCTGCCAGTTGATAAACCAATAAACCACTCTGGATTTATAATGTCACTTTGGTTTTTATTTATTCCTTTATTTTCTACTGTCATGATAAAAGTCTGTTTTCAGCAGAGAACCTGGAAATGTTCATATCAGAGGCTGCTGGAGACAGCTGAAGGATTGCAGGACATTCTGCGTGGAGGGAACTAATCCAATCGGTCTGCTAGTTGAGCATATTTTCCATCTATATAGTTTGAAAAAAAAACCCAAAACATTTCTTGTGGTTGCTGCAGTTTCCGAGTTTGGACCAACCAAGCACAGGCTTGTATTTCAGCTCAACTCTCAGCACTTTGTGATGCAGTTTTAGAGGTGAAGAGGCAGAACATTTGTCGTATATTCTCCCAGAACAAGATGGAGTCAAATTAATAATTTTTTTTCTGGTCTTAATGAATATATTTTAGACTCATACTGGGTTGAGAAATTCCTGATGAAATAAAACAAAAAGAAAGACATCAATAGACAAAAAACAAGCTGTGAAACCCTGATTGGCAAACATAAATCTTGATGCATTTGTAATGGCTGTAGTTCATTCTCATTCTCATGATGGCCTTCATTTTAGTTGTTTGTTGTATAATTGGTCTATTTATCTTAGAGTACATCACAGATACAGACTCAATTAAAGAATGAATAAATCCCTATCTTGTTGCTGCATGATTAAGTTCCGTAGATGAAATCTACCAATACAACAGTACATCAATAAAACATGTATAGCTAAATTAAAACAGCAGTAATCAATATTTCTATGTTAAGAATCAATCAAATGACCATGTTTGCACTGAAATGGCTCAATCTTAGTGATTAACCCAGAGATAATTATCACCTAACTCAGTGCTGTTTCTTGCAGCTCTACAGTGCGTTTTAACATCTATATATCCTATATATAGCACCACTGTTTTGGATATACAGCCCCCGACTTTACTGTTTCTGTTCACTCTCATCAACCTTGTCTCTAACCACAGCAGGCAGTTGTTTTCAGCAAAGGAGCCATTTGTGCCAACCAAACAGCAGACACACAAAGTTGGCAGCTAAACTAGATAGATATTTCTCTCTGATGTTGGTGGAGACCAGGCCAAAGATAAAAGTGAATATTGGATTTACATTTGTCAGATTGCCAGAGACGCAACTCCAAATGAATTAAAATGTTCCATTTCTGCTGAATGTGTAAAATGGCAGATTTACTAAAACAACTTCATATGGTGAGTTATGTCACTGTCAGCTTGTTTCTCTTCTCCAAAGAGGTCAAATTATGCTTTTAAGAAGGGACATTAAGTGATTTATTTTTATTTCTGCTAATTTCCTTTTGAGGCTTTGTATCCATCCAGTAAAGATGTAATTTCACAATATTTCAGAGGAGAAGTTGGCTCATTAATGGCTGACATGGACAACTGCATCCATCAAAGAACTAATATAGTAACAGTCCCTTTTATGTCAAAGGAAAGCTAGAGATAAAAAGAATGTCAAGAAAATAAAAGAAATGGATGATTTTATTTAGTCAAATGTAGACACAAGTATATTCAGTTATACTACTAAAAACTGCCTCTGAAACTGTGCCTCACTGAGCTCTCATGGTATTACAGTATATCAGTTTACAGAGCATTACATCACTAATGCAAACACTGTACCAATGTTAATCCTCTTCTTCCTGTATGACTTCAGAGGGACGTGGCAGGCAGACAAACAGAGGCTTTGTGGCAGACTGATAAGACTGCTGCCTGTTGTTGGTTGGTTAACATACCTGCTCTCCCAACCAATCCCTGCCAGCCGAATGTCAACCAAGGCTAGATTAAACATGCCACACACTGCAGGCCAGGTGCCCTTACTGTGGCAATACCTGTTCTAAGTTGTCACTGATTCGGCACGTCTGTGAAACATCTTCTGGAACTAAAAAATTAAAACCAAAAACACAAAGCTGCAACAAGACGAGAATAAAAAGAGTCTTGTTTCAGGTTTTGGATTCTAGCTTTACTTTAAATACAGGAGAATTAAAAATGCAATTACATCTTTTATTTAGAAATCATTTAAATACATTTAATAATTCTAAGAGTTACATTCAAGGAGGTAAAGAAATTAAGATCTCTTGTACTCGTGAAAAATATGTACAGTACATTTTTACCCGATGAGTCGGGAAGTGATAAGCTTAACATAACAACTGGTAACAGGGGAAACAGCTAGCCTGGCTCTGTCCAAAGGTCAAGAATCTGCCTACCAGCTCATTGATTAACATTTAATACATACACACAATGTACAATGTAGACATTTTCTTAAAACTTTGCACTCGATAAAGACTTGGTCAATAAACAAGCTACTCCTTGATTAATATGCAACAGTTTGCTTACTGTATGATATTCTATGAGCAGTATGAAAGAAAGTTTAACTATTAATTATTAAACAGTATTTAATACTGTTGGTACAAATAAAAACTTTAAATAATTCAGATGTGATACATCACCAATGTATGGATATCATCACACCTGAACAACATAAAGATACAGTCACATCTTGACCCAAAAAAACTTTACCCACTAAAAACTGAAAATCTTATATATTTACATTTCAAGTTGTCCTTCCTTGCTCTCTTCTAGGTTCAGTCAATCATGAATTTCACTCCAACCCAAGGTAAAGGCTGCTTCATCTGCAGGACCATGACCGAGGTGTCACCAACTCCAGGAAACTATTCTGTTGAGAAAGAGCAGAAGACTTGGCCTAAATATGTATACAGTGCTCCCTCTCCTCCTCCTTCTAGTAACATTATTGTAATCCTTTTATACATTTTATCGGTATGATTTAACATCCATTCATTATCACGTAATAATCTCTTTTTACGGATGTCACTTCTATTTTTAGACAGCCGTTATCTGTGTTAAGCCATTGTGTGTGTGAATGACGCCACTGGCTTTAGAGGATGCCTTAGCTGGGGATACACAGAGGTGCAGTAGTTCATAGTAGAATAAGTATGTTAAGTACATCTGTGCCCATCTGCCATCCAAATCCTTCACATCTGTGACTTCATCAGATGCTTGGGGTTGGACGGGGGCTTTTTAAGGGTTAAATACATGTGTCCATTACTCAACACATGTGGCTCTCCTATGTGTGTGAGTTCAGTGTGTTATCTCTTAAAGAACAAGTTTATGCACTTTGTGTGTCAGTGTAGTAACAGATGCTCATGAATGACTGGAGATAAGTACAGACGACAAAGCCAGGATGATGAAACAGTCAAGGGAGTTAAGTAAGATTCATTTGGTTACTGGCGTCGGTATGACGTCTAACATCAAAGTACTCAAGTACCAATCATGTAATGTACTTACGTTGTATATATCCATGAGTTTTGTTCTAGTTGCTCAGTCTAGTCATAGTGTTATTTGTATTTTAAGTTTATTCACTTGCTGGCCTATTTTTCATTGTAGTATCTCAGAAACAGGGGCCAAAGTTCTGTCTAATGACGTCATTGTAGCACACTACAAGCAACCTGCTATTTCTTTTAAAATCCCCACACATGCAGTGACAGTATCAGTAGCTCTCTCTAGTTAAAGGATAGGTTTTTGATGTTTTTCAGTCATGCAGCTTCTCGCTGAGCTTAAACAAGGTCCTCTGGGATAGTTGTTCAAGCCTTCCATCACCACAGTAACTCCCTCAAAAGAATCTCACAGTATAGTTACATATGTCCTCTTATCTTCTGATGAAAAAAAGTGTCACAAATCTCACCTTCTGTCAGGTTTTATTGATTTTATTTCAGACAAATCCCTGCTTGTGTCGCAGATGTAGTCAAGAAACACTAAAGTTTAATAAAGCCTGACAGAAAGCAGCTTTTCCGACATTCCTTTTTGTCACTCTTAAAAATAATGATGTCTGTCCTGTCAGCAAGCCTACAAAGAGGCTGCAGCTGGTCTGGTATCATAAAAAACGAAAAGCTACTCTCAAAGAGTAGAATCATCCAGGTATAACCAATGCTACTTTCCAGTACTTGCAGTACAAATGTAGGCGAAGTACCTACCCCTGTCCGAGGGCAGTGTATCTGGGCGTACCACTCCTGGCAGTACAGACACACCTGGACACCCTGACCGACGAAGAGACACGCCCACATGATGACGTTGAAAACGGGGCTCTGACGCTTGTCATTCATGGTAAAGTTGAACACCACTAAGAGAGGACGACATGAGGGAAAGTTGTTTTGAAGGCCTCACTGTGGTTAAATAGTAACAGTTTATTTGAGTTATTGCGGAGACGTGAGGCCACTGGTAAGGACGCGGACAAAGAACATGAACATTTTAAAATGAAACATTTTGTCAGATGAATACTCACTGAGTCCCAGAGGAAAAGGACATATTGCCCAAGTGTACTTTCTGTAAATATAATGAGAGTCGTCCTCTGAGAACAGCTACTGAGTGCATGTTCGAGTGAATAATTACAGATTTAAACTTTAAAGGCTTGAAGGCACAGTCCAGAATGTAGATGGGGACATTTACATATTTTTAACAAGCTAGGACAGACAATTCAGAGACAGCGATTTAACTTTAGCAACAGTAATGAGGTACTTCCTTACTTGAAAGGAAGGTTATGTTATCAAAGGCTTTTCAGCAACCAGGTCAGAACACCGGATACCAATAATTTCTGTTTATATCACTGTGAAGACTGTTCCATGAATAATGAGTGTAACCCTCACCTCCAAAGACGGCAAAGAGACAGAACATGACGGGATAGAAGAAGCCAAAGCCCATTGTGAAGGCGTACTCGTGGACGACAGCAGAGACGATGAACACTGAGAGCATGGCAGCTGTTCGGAATTTCCTTTTCGACAGCTGCAGGGATCAGAGGAGAACAGAGAGGGTTTGGATCAAAGTTCAAGGGTCAGGCTGGTTCAGTTGGGAATTTGTGTCACTAGAATTACAGGACAATAGTTTAACTATACGCACTTAATTGTGTGACGATGCTTTGGCAATACAGACAAAAACCCACTGGAACATTCCATTATTGTTTGGTTTTATGTTGTTTATGTAAGTTTAGTTTGCTCTATTGGCACTATCTGCTCACCCAGAGGAAGTCTCTGTATCCGTAGTAATAGAGCCAGTCATGAACCACAACGTTCCAGGTACGGTAATAATTGGCGAAAGATGTAGAGTTCCACCAGTCCTGGAAAATCAGCACAAGGTAGTAAAATGAGTATGTGGATCAAAATAAAAACAGAATAGACAAGGATCACTTCAATTATGGGGCATTTTAAAAGTTATACTTTACTAAAATCTTATCTTATCTCTGATATTAAATGAAAGATGGCCTTGTAGCACTGATAGCACGCAATGCTTCCAACAAATGTAGAGGTAAACCGGTTGGACTCAAAGTTAGAGGTAGGCCTAATGTTTTGAAGATCTCATCTGCTGTATATTTAGTTTCAGCTAATGCCTTCCACAGAGTGAAGGCTCATATATACACACACACACACACACACACACACACACACACACACACACACACACACACACACACACACACACACACACACACACAAACACACACATACACACAATATGGTGGAAACTGCATCTGTGTTTTCAGGTTTCAGGTACCACACATATTTTTCTAACTAAACCAACTCTTGCCTACATCACCCCCAAGCTAGAATTGGTCCTCTGCTTCACTACCTTTGGACCTAAGTCAATCTGCCAATTTGAACGCACTTTTAGATTTGCAGGAACATATCAGTCAAATCAGTGAGTCACATGAGCAAAGGAGAAGTGGCCCACAACCAAAGTCATGGTTTTGTCTCCTGTTTAAAGGGATACGCTATCAACAAAATATAATGGATGGGACCATCAGGCCACCTGGCTGTGATTTCACTTGTCATTCATCCAATGTTTTCCAATCTGAAAAAGCAGGCATATCTGACAATAATGTGCTCACAGGAGAGGTGATGTCACACACCTTGTAAAACATCCTGTCAGCAAAACACAGCAGCTCCCCGAAGAGGTTGAGCCAGCAGTGCAGGAAGGCAAAGAAACACAACAGAAGGAGCATTATACCTGAGACAGACAGAGAGACAGAGAGAGAAGTTTATAAGGAACACTTTTGTTCAGGGCATTGCTCCCAGCTTCCTCATAAGAACTGTAACTTGACACTGATGCTCTTAAATCACTTACTCCAACCCTTACTCATGAACCTAATCACTTAAAGAGAGCAATAAACATATCGGTCTTTGATACCTGCACCTGATTGCATAATAATCTTTAATCTTTAATCTTATCACAGACTTAAAAACACTAGAGACCAGTTCCCTCTATTACCATATCAAGTGATATATTAACTAGTGCTGACTCACACAGATAAGAGATAATAGAAGTTATAAGCAGAAGTGATCGCAGATGAATTTTAATTCTGTTTGTGTTACACAAGACTTTCTTGTCTCTTTCTTGTTCTTGCCTGAAAAATCTACCAAGATACAATGCGCTATATGTCGGTAGAAAGTAGAAAGTACAGTACCTGGTAATATTGAGTGGAACACAGCTAGAACCAGTGTTCGTTTACTAAAAGGTTGGTTGGTCTCAGGTCTGAAGACGGGCACACAAAGACGGACCAGGATGAAGTAGCCATAAAACAGGCATCCCAAGATCTGCAAAATGAGATTTAAAATGTTTTTTTTTAAAAAGTTCCAATAGGATCCTGGAAAAATGTTAATTAAATACAGTAGAGAGACTTCTTCTGAATCAGCAGAGAGATAGTGGTTTGATCTAAGATATCAAAGATTAAAGCTTTTAAGCACCTGTAGTTTATAATTGCTCCACCTCATTACACAACACACAAGTGCTATGAACGACATGTAGGTCAGATTATTTCTTGGTCAGTAACCCCACACAGGCTTTCTATCGGTGATAAGTGTGAAAATTAAAATGAACAGACCAAATAAAGGAAGGAGTTTCATCTTACCATACCAAGTGTGATGCCAACATACTTCCATCTTATGTGGGAATTCCTGCAAACAACAGAGAAGATTAGTCTCACAAAAGTATACTGTGAATTGTGCCTTGTGTGCATTCATACATATTGTGTTGCTCAACAGTTTCCTTTCCTTTCAGTTGTTCTTTTGCTCAAATAGGCCTTTTCAGGTTTTGACGTGTCATAGTAGGAAAAGCACATGTGATATTAACTTATGATATTAACAATGGCTCTGTTTTATTCAGGTGTCCCAGTAATTCATGTGTCAGTGAGCCAGCATGAAACAGTGATTATTATTTTTTTATGTATGCACATGCTGTACCAAATATCCAGATCCTGAATCCCAGTCTAACTTGAACAAAGAGTGCCTATTTCTGCTCCATTAATGTATGTTTTTTATTTGTTGAGATAGATTCTGAGGGCTTGGGAGCTGCAATGAGTGCAAAATACTGCTGCTTTACTTCAAACACCTGCATTTTTTTGTTTATGGCACAATTTAATACATGGGACATCCACTCTGCTTTTTGACATTTCACTTTATTTGACAAGACAGTGGAGAAAGACAGGAAAGTCAGTGGGAGAGAAAATGACATGCAACAAAGTGGCCTCGGGCTGGATTTGAACCCAGGCAGCTGCAGTAAGGACTCAGCCTTGATATGTGGTACACGCTGTACCTCGTGAGCTACCAGGGCATCCCTGACATCCACTCTGTTTCATGTCAGTTGCACTCACATTACTATAAATCACTGATTCGAATAAGAGAACCAAGCATAAGCAAATGGGTCTTACCGAGGATATGATTCCCTGTAGATGAGTGTTGGACAGAAGAGGAAGTACAGATAGCTGGATAATGTTGGGAATCTGGGACTTTCTCCTGGGAAAAAAAACACAAATCATAAAGTATGACAAGAGTGGAGGGAGACCTGTTTTGAGCCCTAAAATCTGCTAGTGAGTAAGCTTATAGCAGTCACAAGTGGCCTTGAATGATTTTTAAAAGGGTGTCAGTTTAAAAAACAGCTGATGTAAGGTCTGTGGTTCAGACATAAGCTTCTTGTCTGCCTCTTGTTTCATTATGTGGCATAATACCAGCCATTACTAGTTCCATTCCGAAAGCTTTACTGTGCCTTAATGTAGGCACCTGAAAACAAATGGCCGTCTTTAAAATTAAACAGCAGTGAGTTTATCACAAAATCGTTAAGCCATTATGTCCAATTGTCTGCATTAAAGCCTCTAATCTCTTTTGCTGAATTATTAGCTGTACTTCAGTCAAGCCTCAACTTTTTACTAATACTATTGGCATTTAAAAGTGATAAAACAGCGCTGTTTTGTGTAAATTGCTTTTAGCAGAATCATAAATCTGAATTAAACAAGAAACTTACTTTCAGTCTTATTCCAAAACCACATTCAAATCATGGCAGACCATGGACACGTCTTCCATTTTCACTCCTTTATTCAGGACTATATGTTTTTTTCCTGGAGGTGAGTGCAGTGAGTGAGTATTTAAGTTTATTACTATGACTTTATAGTCAAAAGAGACACATTCTTTCCCACTAATAGGAAAAGGAACTCATGGGGATGCACATACTTGAGCTTATTTATTGTATGTGGGTGTATTCATTGTTACTTTTAACTTCAGAATGAATCATTAGGCGGTATCTTGCTGAGCTGTATTTTAGTCATTTTTCACAGGTGTCTGGGAGTGTCACTGTGAGTAATTATACCGCCTGAGGAGTAAATACACCTGACATTAATACAATACAGTACAGTACCTTCCTTTGGTGTATTCTTCATAACGACAGGAGCAGTTTCTCTCATGAACGAGTAGCTCTTCATCAGGAATCGAATCTGAGGGAAATTGATACAGTTATTATGTGAAGTGAAGCACAACATATCAATAATAATATCTACTATATTGTTTGTCTTTATTACATGAATTGGCTAGATGTCCAAAGTGAACAACCGACATCTTTGTGGCCTCAATCTCACGTTTCTGTCATATTGACCCAGTGATGTATTATTCAGTTAGTTGTTGACTTCTTCTGTAATTAATCAGGAGGAGGAACAACAACAGGGAACTGTGTAGCATGACAGGGGTGACAGGTGTACGGATGGAGAAATGGTTTGTCATTTTAGACATGGCATTCAGACATGATGCATCATCAATCTGCATACAGCAGGGAACCACATACACTATTTGGGCAATTTAGAAAATGAAATGAATTCATTAATGCATCAAAAATCAATATAATTCAGTTTATAAAGAGGGAGGGACGCATCAGAATTACAAATAGACTGATTAAACTCAGGTCAGATGAGGAAAAAAAAGCATCTAAGCACTGGGATTATCTCACTCCATCAAATGGAGTTAAATGATCTTAGCACTAAGACGGTTTTGGGAGACCAGGGCCAGCGCAATAAAGAGGATGAGGAGGTATTACACTACGGGTCCATGATGTTCAAACTTTGGCTACGCTGAGATACTCCTGTCTCTTTTGGTGCCTTTCCAGTTGGTCTCGCATCTCTGGCCAACAGGCTTTCTTATCGCAGTGTTCCTGCTGATGGCAATGAGGAGCTGCAGTTCAAATTTGGATTACCAATGAATACAATGTTATCTACAGTACAGGGTGTTTCTAGCACAGGTCCTTCCTAATAAGAATTTTTATACTTGTGATTTATTCTGTTGGATTTTTATGTTCACATTGCAGTAAAAAAAAACTTTAATCATACCACAGGAGTCATTAAAAAAGAGTGGTGCTATTTGGAACTGTACTAAAACTGACTTGCTGCTGATGTAAAATGACAAATGAAGTGCTTTTGTCAGCTGTTCAGTGTCACTGACATATTCACGCATCATTGTTCAGCTTCCAGCTGACTAGTAACATCCAATCACATTCTTAAGTGTAAGTACAAGTGTACTAGGTGGCCTTTACAATTTGGTTCTCCCTTCAACACCCAAACCTCCTCCTTACATTGTATGATTTAAGCTTGGGTATTGCCGTCTTGCTGAGCTCATCAAGCATGTTGACTGCAGTCTCTGATTCTGTACCATTTTGTATAAAAGGGTGCTTAGTTCTTCCAGTAGGTGGAGGTGGGGCTTCTGAAATGCTATATGAACAGCAGCAGTAGCAGCGAGCAACAGTATATCCCTAATGTGAGCAGTGCGGCAGCAGGCAGGAGTGAGCAGAGCGCTGGTGGCTTAAGGACACCATTATGATACTGATATTGGACATATGTTGCTGTGAGGAGTATGCCATGTGAATGTAGTGGCAAAATCGCATTGAGCTGCTTGAACTGGCTCACAGTTTTATCAAGCAGTGGTGTGTTGTTCGTATCCATGAGTTCATCATTGATTTCCCTCTTATTTAGGCTATAATCACTGATGTCTTACACACAGGTGACTAGCTAATCAGCTCACTTGTACATACTGGAGTTCCTGTGTTTATAAACAAACATTTTTCATAAGGATCCCTTAGATTTGGTAATAAAGAATTGTGACAAAGATGTGTCTTCAGCAGGACGTTTTGTTGTTGAAAAATAAACATTTCATTGCTCTCTGATGGACAAATGAGCTCTGTATTACTTCAAAACTTTTTTTGGCATGTCTGTACTGCATTTTCTTGTTACCAATCAGCCAAAATAGATCCCAAAATGTTACATCTTTGATAAGCACAAATTGGCTGATTATATCAGTGAGGCTCTAATATAGATGGCATTTTCACTCAGTAAGGCTTGAGGCAGTCTGCAACTTTTGCATTCTGTTCTCAATAAATGTGACACCAAAAAGTGTGCAACATTGTCATCATTAATTTGCTGGAGTACAAGTCACATGCTACTTGATATTGACCAAACTTATATAAACAGACATGCACACATACACTCACCTGCTCTAGTATCACAATAAACCGTGAGGCTGGTGGCAGCTGATAGTGTACAACCACGTAGATGGGGAACTGTCCCAGTACATAGGTCTGCACTGCAGACAGGACCAAGCCTGTGCCGAGAGACAGCCCCAACTTAGAGGGGAAGCTGTGGTACAAAGATCCCCAAAACACCAGGGTGTAGTAGGGAACAAACAAGGTGTAGGCAAACATCACAACCCAGGCCCAGGTGACCGTCCCCAGCTTCCCAAAGGCAAAGAACAGCAGGTCGAACTCCAAGACCAACCTGAGATTGCATAAAGAAATACAAAATATTATTATTATATTATATTAAAATTAAATTATATATTATATATTATAAGGCATATCATTCCATTTCCAGAAAAATCTGAATTAAGTTAAAATCGGCACATTCAGGTGCTCTATTTGCCACTGTGGTCTGTTTAAGCTTTAAAAAATATGTTGAATAACAATTTTTTAAAGATATTAAAGCATGGCTGGCTTAAATAATTGGCAGGCATATTTAAATGCATTGAGTATTTTTCACATTACTTTCTAAAAAGACCCCTGTGGTGATAAAAATAATAGATTTGAAATACCCACTCATTGTAGCATGTCAGAGGATTTATTTAACTCAACACAGGCCTTTGCAAGTGTGATATTATTATTTTTTATTTCATCAATTTAGCCATATTAAAATCAATGTTAACTGAGGGTGGATGTAGCAAAATAGTTTGCATGGCGGAGCGTTGCCCGATGGCACTTCCTCCTGTGAGAAACAGGAATAAAACTCACAACCGTGCGCCTGAAAAAAGCAACCAAATCATTACCGAGCTGCCCAAAGCCACAGCAGAAATACTCAGAGGGATTGATTGCTCTATCTTTCTTCTGCCAGCAGAGAAGCAGGGAGAGAAGGAGGGAGGGACACAATAAGGAGAAAAAGAAGATAAGAAGTGAGTAGGAAGTTTTTAAAGGCTTCAGGGTAATTAGGTTTTGTTCAGGGTCATGGAGTTTGAGACGTGTCGGTGTCATAAAAATACAGGCCTTCACACATAAACACACGTCAGACAGACCTGCCCTGGTCGATGTAGTCGACAGCCAGTGTGCTCAAGCAGAAGATGAGGAGTACGGCTATGAACATGTGGTAGATGGTCCTGATGTGGTTGATCTCAAACAGTTCACTGATGAAGAGGAGGAAACAGTCATTAAAATAGCTCTAGGTTGTATTCGTGTGCATACCTGTAGTGCTGTATACATGTTAGAGGCTTATTCATCTATAATACACACATGCTTGTGGGATTATCGTATGTATACAGTGTGCAGAAGATATTCAGACTGTCTGTCTTAAAAAGTTCCATATAACATTCATGTATCCATATTTCTCAAACAGTTAAGCTATCTTGCACACATCATTATAATAGATGAGAGTGGTTCTCAACTTGTGTCAAGAACCCAAATTGATACATTAATATCAAGGCTGTATTTGATAAGAGGGATCCCAGTCTGATAACATTTAGTTATTCCATAACTGTAGATTGACATATTAATAGCAAAGAGTGTGAAAATCTATGAACAGTATAGTAATTCTTATACATTCTCTCATTGGGATAACTTCTAGTCAATAAAGTAAAAGTAAAATTTAAATAATGCCCATTTTTCTGGGAACTCCTTGAACCTCTTCAAGTTACCCCTGGCCATAGGGGGTCCCCAGACCCCAGGATGAGAACCATTAGTATATGAGGTTAACAAGAGACTCAACAAAATAAATCTGAATTGTAATAAAAAGTTCAGATATTATACTTGGAAAAATATATTTTCTCAGACACCACCATGAAGAAAGCATAAAAATGGAATGTCGTGGTTGATTGGACTTGTTAATTTTTATGGATTTTTAAAAGCAAAAAAGCAAAAATGCCAAATGTTTGCTGCTTTTCTTCTTCGTATGTGATTGTAAATTGAGTATCTTTTGGTTTTGGACTGTTGGTCAGACATTAAAAGACATTAAAAGAAGTTTCCTTCTTGTGAAATTGTGAGTATTTCTTATTATTTTCTGACATTTTATAGACAAAACACTTAATAATAGGCCTCATGAATGATAATTGTTAGTTGCAGTCCTTTATTAAAGTTTACACTGGTCTGCTACTTTGTTCTCTAAATTAGAATAAGACTGTCAGTCTGTCATACTTACTCCAACAGTGATGGCCTGGCCATAAAAACTTTGCCGTCATCCATTCTCTGAGATCTAAAACAAACGACACAGAAAAAACAGACACACACACACATTTTACTGCAGTTAATAAGAGGATAAATGTGTCTCCCAGATCAGTATAGAATAATGTGTTCTAGTCAAAGTTGCCTCCTCCTCCTCCTCACCTGGATGAGGGTTTTTTTGTCATCTTTCCATTAACTGTTGGTTGGATTTGGGTGAAAGGCTGGACGGACTCAGCCAGAGCTTTGTCTAGTATATCACTGAGCTGATCCTGGACCTGCTCCAGAACTTTCACTTTCACCTTCTACAGTAGGACACACAGGAGAAAAGTTGTTTGTTTTAGCTTTCTCATCTTAAAGCCTTCTCTTTTTGTTCACCCCACAGTACAAGATGCATCCCATATGTTGTATCCTATGTACTCCGCACAGCCACAACTTCTGTATTTCCTCTTTCCAAATGAGTAAGACTGAGGAGGGACGGTATAACTGAGGGATTGAAGTTAGGATACTGGATGGTAGTGGAGTTATGAGTTACCTGTGCATGTTTCTGCCACTGTCTTAGCTCTTCTTCCTGCACATTATTATGGCCCTCGGCTGCAGAGAGAAGAACATAAATTACATCAAAATGATCAACCAGTACAATATACTCTACACATTGCACCTGCATAGACATTCAGTGCAAAACTAAGGAGGAAAGTTAAGAGATAAGAAAAGCAAAATTATTGTTATCTTGGTTAAGTGTGCTTTGTAAGAATTGTATAAATACCCAAAGTATTAATAATACTAGAAGAATTAAGGTTGAATTCTACAGTACAGTAAACAAATACTATATATATTGAAATCTGTTATTAATTACACTAACAAAAATGCCAAATACTATCAACAAATACTACCAACAAAGCAACACAGGATACACAACACAACCCAATGGCACCAATTAAAAGACTTTTTAGAGATGAATGAGTCTGTAAATATTATTAACCATACCATGACTGGAGATCTCATCTGACTTCACGTTTCGGTGCCACAGTCCGTTAGGTGGCTCTGCAGTCGTCATGGTTACCACTGGACAGCTCCACAACACTAAGGACTATCTGACAATCCTGTGTGTATAAAAGTCACGGGTTAGTCTCACACACTCTTGCTTCCCTGGGTATAAATTGATTAATGCTGCTTGGTTTGTGTTTGCCCCATCTGGCCTGTTGTTTGTTGGTCTGATACGGATGGGAGAACAAAAAATCACTTGGTGGGCCCATTGAGTGTTCTCACAATAGTTTGGATCCACACAGGGCTAAGTTTGTGGTTATAATCTGAGGTAAATCCATACTAGATCAGTGAAAGCAGGAATATGCTTATACAATGTCCTCTGTGGTTTGAGACACACCAATAAGTGACGCCAAATCAGGTGTTTTCACTCATTAAAGTGCTGTGACTTCACTGAACAGAGGCACAACATGCTCACATCTTTCACCCCATAGAGGGCAGTCCGGCAAACATTTTTACACTTTCTTAAAGTTCGACGATGTAGACTTGAGAATCTTGAACTATAAATTGAGAGATTAAATTAGGTCACAGGCCCATTGCTGGCAGGTTGCCTCATGCCAAAAGGCATTAATATTCCTGATGAGCCACAGTCCCAAGGAGATGAGCTTACTCGTGTGAATCCCAAACTGATAAAGTGCACAAACTACTGGTCTGAATGCAGAAAGATATAGGTAGGTCAGGGGTTTTGAACTGTGGTTACCTATAGTGCTTTTCAATAACAAGAATGTTATCTCCAGTCACTGTAGCTCAAGCTAAACAATGTAAACAAATGATAAAGCCGGTCTATCTGTGCACTGTGGAAGTTAACTGTAGATAAGATACACAGAAGACAGATGGAGACGTTACGTTCAGTAGACTTCAGAGGAAGGGGTAAACGACACAAAGGGACCTTAATTTCTAATCTATGCTGTTTGATCACTCAGGAGAAATGTCAAAAAAGCAGATTACCTTTGCATAGATATACAGATAATATATTATGTGGCTGAGGATGATGAGATGGCAGAGAAAGAGATGAAGAAAGACATGTTTTTGAACAGATCGACACATTCTCTGCATGCTTGAAGTAAGTTGCGGGTGTACTTGCAGTCTGTCTAACTTTCCTTTCATTTGTCTTTAATAAACAACTTTTATAAACAAGTTTTTATTTGCATATAGTCTGTAATGAGAATAAATGAATCAACTAATTTCAAGAACACCAAGTGTTACTTCCACCATATTGTCTTGCAACAGAATTTAGAATAAATTTCAGTAAATCTTATTGGTACTGTTAGAAAAACATGATCCACTATTTGGCAGTTAAAATTGCCAGAAAATCAGTTTTGAATTATTGTATATTGTTAATAAACGAATTGATTCAGTTTATAATAATCACAACAGCAGAACAAACTAAAAGCTGTGTGTAAAACTTTTATTTTATTGCTCCCTGTTTTGTACAAACTGAGGAACAAACAAACAAATAAGCAAACTGAGAGAGTTTGCTAAGAATTTCCATCTGTCACAGAATTCTTTGTACTCTGTTTTTTTTTATTTTGGCCATTTTTAAAACTATGACTGGTACAACACTGTAGAAAACTGAAATCTTGTGACAGATGTCAGATACAGATGTATCAGGCCGATGTACCATCCATGATAAACATTGTCATATTTATACTCACAGAGTCTTCTAGCCTCGGGCTCAGTCAGCGGTCCACGGAGGTGAGAGGCACTGTTGCAATCGATGAGTCCCGTTGAGAGAGAGTTGCTGAGTGTTTTTAAGTAAGCATATGTCACAGTTCTTGTCCTCTCCTTTCCTCAGCTGCTGTTTTGCACTTTGCCCTTTCTGGCTCCTGGCCGTGGGCAGGACAGGTTCAACCCCCTCTCTTTCATCTTTTCTCCTGGATGTATGAGGTCATGCAGCAGTTTGTCCTAAAGTCCGGTCTATTCACAGCGATGGACTGTTATTGCAAAATGTATTTATAGTTAACTATTGATTTTTTATTCTACTTGGCATATAGCTGAAAACCCGTGGCTGTTATCAGTCTTATAGGTCAATGTTTTTTCTACAAAGATGAAGTCAAGACTAAAACATAAAATCTGGCTGCACTGACTTACAGCACCAGCCACTCAGAACTGCAGCCTCAGGATATATCCCTTCAATGAGTTCAGATAAGCAAGGGCCTGTCATGGACCAGCTGGCAATTCTAGGCAGCTGCATCTGTAGCACTTCAAAATATATATTTGTATGGATTTTTAAGCATCCCCTTTGACCTTAAAAAGGTGTTTTTTCTTTAAGTCACTTCACTTGTATGTTTGAGCTTCACTGTGCAGAATGATGTATGCGCAAAGTTTGATACGAGTGTTGACTGTTTTCAAATTCATCTGCAAGTTCAAGACATGTACGTATCAGATGATGAGTGACATCTCAATTAGTATGATTTGGAAATTTTTCCACTGCACACATATAGAGAATAGACTTTTCACTGAAGTAGGAGACATCTTGTACCCAGGAGTAAAACCTTTGATGGAAATTAAATATTCATGGATTCTGTATTTTCAAAGAGGGAGAAGGAAAATATGTCATTTTAAGAATGTTTCATTTGGTATCTGAACTTTTTTGTGGGCTATTTCAACACTGTATGTCTTAAAACATGTCCAGAGAGGCTCTTTATGCATATGAATGTATTTGTACGCACATCTCAAAAGTTTACCTGTGTAACTTCAGGCTGATGAGAAAATAATGTTGGATCCACTTGCTCACAAGCTGACACATGCAGGAAGACCAGTAATGAAACAGTATGACGGCAAAGGTCATTTGCTCCGTGACCAAATACATGTAATTTGGTCAACAAAGAAATGTGTGCAATCAGTTTGTTTTGTGTCCTAGTTTTCAAAAAGTGTTTAACTTGGACAAGAATTTGGAAGAAATTTAAAGCAAATGTAGTTTCTAAATTTACACAATGCTTAAAAAAACATTTCTGTTTAAAGTTGTCAAAATTTGCACGAAACATTATACAGATTATGAGATTGATTTACAAAATCAAAACCACAGCAGAAAGCAGAACTAAGAAAGATAAACAAATCCACCTCTTTGGTAGTTTACGTCAGGCGGCTGACCGAGAGGACTACCCCCGCTGGGTCCTGGGTTGCTCTACTTATCGATTTGTTTTGGTTGAATGTCACTGTGGCACTGTTGGCAGATGGTGTTGTTTTCCTTTTCATAGTAATTCAAAGCCTATAATTACTTATATCATAGAAAAACGAGAGATTATCCTTGTTATGGAAAAATACTAAAGACTTAAATCAAGAGACAATGTGGCATTATGAAGTCTAGGGTTGTTGCCATTGATTTGTTTTGTCCTGAGATGTTATTGACCCCGATGTTACAGCTGCTTTTACTCTCCTGGTTCTCTATCAGCATGTTATCGGATTTATTGACAGAAAACTACAATTTAAATGTGCTTTTCTCTGGTTTATAAAAAAGCTGAACCCTCCCCAACACAATCAATATATTTATGAGAAACATAACAAAGTGGTGACAATTTAGACTTTGTAATTAAACAAATTTTAATTTCAGAATTAAATTATTTTTAACATAAATTGTCAACATCTGTTTAATGTGCCTTTTTAACATCATCATCTTCATCCGCTTATCCGGGATCGGGTCGCGGGGGTAACAAGGCCTTTTTAACATGCTTAAGGGTAAAAATCTCACATAATTAGAGTCATAGAGTAATAACAAGACAGTGTAATGATGATATTTACACAGGATCATCTTTATTGGAAGGAGTTTCATGAGATAACAGTACTGTTTCTCAGCAGCTACAGAAGAAAGTACTGCATGCACTAAATCACACGCTATAAACAAACCAACCAACGCATAAATGTACAAACAGACACAGACATTTTGCCTTTTTTTAAACCACCCTACCATCCTTGTCATAGTTTTATTTCTGCATATTTAGGCTACAGTGTCACATATTATTTACCTTGCCAGAGTATTTTTTCAGATTGGTTACAATTACTGTAAGACAAACAGAACAATAAGACTGAAAATAAATTCTACACTCAATCATCCCTACATTTACAGCTCAGTGTACAACCATAGTTCATGTCATTGTTTTCTTTGTGGCTTTCAATGATTAACAGCAGATTGACAAAAGGGCCATTCACATTCAATTCATGGTTTCTATAGGTTGTGTAAAAACACTCAAAATCAATGATAATGTAAACGTTTCTCAAATTCAACGACCATTTTTGACCTTCTGGAGAAAGTTGAAGTCAGCAAAAAGGGAAAAGCATAAAGAAAATAATGTGATAAGGTGCCTCATGTATTTCTGATAAGTCTCAATATAATGAGTGGGTCTGTTGGTAGCGCTTTAGATTGCAGCTCAATTTACAATGTAATACATTAAGTATACACAGTGCATCAATAAATACTTACTGAATAATTATATGGGACAAATGTGTGGAAGGAAGTACAGGGGAAGACAAGATGTTAGGGTAGAAGAGGGTTAACAACTTTGTGTATAAGAGGGAAAATTGGGCAACAGTTGTATCATAATGGCATAATTTATTTAGAAAATGATGATATATTAATTATCTATTTAGTTTGGTAGATTAAATTGTTAAAGTTTAAATACAGAGTGCTTATTATTATTAATATGGTATGCATTACACTGCTTCACTCGTACCTAGTAAGTATTTCATTGGCACCCCGTCTGTACACAACGCTTACACTGTAACTTACAGGCTGTAATCTAAAGCTAACAGATACTGATCTGTTTTGTTAAAAAGATCACAGAAAGTCGAAGAGTAAGAGACTCTGCTAAGAAGATACAGCTCCTGTTCTCTCCCCAAAATACACACAGAGATATGCACATGCACACACACACATACAGTCCGTCCAGTATCACCCTTGACTCTCTCATCCTGACTGGTTGATCAGGAGGTCAACAGAGAGGGCTTAATGGGCAGCCTGGATTGACTGACTGTCAGTGTGCGTAGTCAGTCAATCTGCTCAGACTGCACCTAAGTAATACCGGATATTCTGTACTTTGGTCAAAGGTCAAATACCTCATTGGCTGATGAGGCACTATATCTAAAGTGTGTGTCAGAGGGATAAGACAGGGCTGTATCAGCTCTTGATAACCTACAGTAACCCTTGGTTCATGTCTCCATCTCAACTATATAGACTATTGTGGAGCAAGATCCTCTTTAGGTGACTCACTACAATCAGGGCTTTGGTTTCAATCCTAGGTTGTTCGTAAAGAGCCATAAGATTAGGTATCTCCTGAACAAATGTATATTGGAACAGCAGCTGCACACATGCACACATTTTAATTCAATGACAAAACAATCCAAAAGTATTCTGCAGTGTAAGAAACACTGTCAACATGATACATTTACACATCAAAACAAATGCAAATGCTTCACATTCAACAACTGCTATAAATGAAGAATAAATAGCAAACAAATAACATTTAAAATGGAGTAAATGATAACAATATATATTAATTTTAAAGTAGAACTAGTGGTATAAAAATAGTTGCTACACAGATCTTTTTTTTCACTCTGCCATGCTTTTGGTTGACATGACAATGACTGAATATCTCACAGACGGTCCCTGACAGGCAGCTTTTGTAGGGATAATTTACAGTTTAAAAGTCTCTCTACAACAACACAGTCAGGTTTTTTTTTTTTTTTTTAAACAATCAGGAACCATGTGTTTTAGACTTCCCTTTATGGTTCATATGAAATTTATTTTCAGACCAGTTAAAACCAGTGCAGTGTAGCAAAGGTCAGACATGGGGTGACTTAACCACTGAATACTTGACTGTTTTATTTTAAACAATTCACTAACCAGCTTCTTCATTTGCCACTCTGGTTCTTCCTGCTCTTGGTAAGATAGCGCTACTGCCAGAACAATCTGAAGCTTTAAGATTTAAGGTGAGGTTTTTACAAAAAGCGTGAACTTGCTAGAGGCGGCTACTGTCTGGTATGTGGATATGGGGGTTATTTGGTTTATTATCCCTCTTAATCTAACAAGAAAAAAATATATATCCTCCAAGGGTACCAAAATACAAAACTGTTGTGTCTTGAAAAGTCTTGACAAGTTATATACCGTACTGTGCGTATATAAGCTTAATTTACCTTTGTTTAATTTGAGTAAAAAACAGGTCAAATATGAGAAATCATCTTGTGTCTAAATTAAGGCTTGGCCATGTTTCAACTGCTGCAATATGTGTCTTTCAGTTTAGTGTGCGTTGGTCTACCTACATGGCAACAGCAGCCTACATGACATAACACATTATAGACTATATTGTTGCTATGACTACTGACACTGTTTCTAAAAATTCATATTGCAATTAGCTTTAACATTGCTTTCAGTTTGGATTGAAACTGCCCAATGTTTCAAAACTCACTTAAAAGGAGAAGTCTTTTTCTTATTGTGAAGTACTGCAGGTATGGTATTAAAGCCTGATATATAGTAGCTTACTCCTCCGTTCCAATGACCGCCATTGTTTTCAAAAACACATCAATAAGCCACACTGCTGCAATGGATGCGCTATTTTTTTTATATAATCGTATAATCCACGGCTGAAAATAGTCCCCAACACAAATTACTGAGACTTTTTTAAAACAAATAATATATTCAAGGTCGGTTTTTAAAACATACATCTTCAGTTGGCTTCAGACTGAAAGCCACAGGCAAGGCTGGGCAAGTCGGAAAATACTGAGAGACAGAGGAATGCATTGATGGTTTTGGTCTTTTCATGAGATTTATTTACATTAACAAAAATACTTAATAATGCCAGCTGAGTATTGCCAGCTAAATAATGCCTAATTATTCTGTAAACACGTGTCATTTTTAAGGCTGATTTTTCCATTTACATTGACTGACAGCACTTCTCCTGCACTGGTGTTTAGACTGAAACATTTCATGATAATGTTGCCTCACTAGCTCTCTTCCTCTGTCATGTATTTTCCGAGAAAAGCTGAAGACCAACATTGCAAATCAACATGCACAGTCAGAAGTATAAATATTAGTAAACTGAGCTCGAGGTTCACACCGTTTTCATATTGCTTAACAGTGTTTTACTTGGAGTTTTCAGATCCATACGTACGTTTAATCGTAATAATAATAATAATAATAATAATAATGATAAAGACTAACCTTATCTTACTGGTCAATGTACTGGTTTTTATGTCCCCTCATTGAGACAAACACCACACCCTAGTGGTTAACTACAGCACGACACACCTTCACTTCCCCACCTTTCTATTTGTGGTCCCTCTGTATTCATGGGGGAGGGTGTGTAGCAATATGGGTGTAAGCTGCCAGTTCACAAATTTGAAATGCAGCGCTTGCCATGAATCCTACCAATACCCACATACACCCCACATCATTAAACAGGAAGGAGAAGGGATTGAAGAGGATCAAGCAGGGGGAGGAAAAGGGAAACAGGGGAGAGATAGAGGTCTGTTTACAACAGGTGAGGATGGGAGAGGAAAGAGAGGCTTGGAGGACAGTGATCAGCTGCATGCAGATTTATAGAGGAGGGCTCAGAGAAAAACGTCTGCCTGGTGAGAGAGAGAGAGAGAGAGAGAGAGAGAAACACACAGAGAAACAGAAAGTAAGAGAGACATTCAGATACATTCAAGAGACACAGGGAGTGCGAACGATGGCATAAAAGAAGAGAGAGCAGCCAGTGAGTCAAGCGTACATTGCCAGAAGGAACACATCTCAAGTCATTTCATTTCTGGTGTCTTCACTGAGAGCTACTTGTGTTTGGGAACTGCATGGAACACTCTGGGGCCAAATTTAGACTTCATAGGATGTAAAATTCACCAGCACTGTGCAAAACTTATATATTTACTCTGCAGAAAACTTCATGGCAGCCTATATAGCTAGAAGAGTTAGAATAACTTTTATATTTCATCATATAACATAGACCAGTCCTCAGTCTGCAGGTTGAGTGCTATATAGAGTGCCAGCACATTACACATTGCTAGTTTTTCCTAAAGTAGAAAATTAAATTACAGCACTAGTTCTGCAAAATAGGTCAATTCACTCCCTGTGTGCCTGTGACAAGGGGTGCTGGATATTATTAAGTTGAATACATGAAAAGAGTAATAAATGAATCCCGTGACAGCAAAAGCAGTGGGATATAGTAAAAACCCAGAGCCAGTGATAATTTAATCCACCTTTCTCATACGGGTCTTTCCCAGAGAAAAGACATTGAAAAAATGTTTTTAGAATTTGTAATCTTTAGCTCTTGGCTGGGATTTATGAAATAAAAAAAACTACTGATCTGAGACAGATGCTCTTTGTTGGCTATTTTTGTGCAAAGTGTCTCACAGTGCAGCCACTGAGTGTAGGTATTTTTAGTTTGGGAGACCCCAGAAAAAATAAGTCTCTTCACCCTGGCAGCTGGCAAGGTTTCTGCTGTAAACTCCACACAGCACCCAGGAGCTCAGACCCAATAGCCTCTAAAGTCAAAGTGATGGTTCACAAGATAACATCTGCTCCCAAACCAATATATACATTTTTATAGTAATTTAGTATATCGTAGATTTTTTAATTGCTGGAAAAAGTTCCTATTCTGAAAGCAAAAGTATTAATAAGAAGAGAACATCTGCAATTTGAAACATGAGATAATTTCCTTTCCTGTTAATCTTAACATTTTTCAATAATCAAAACAAATCTCATACCTGCAACCCACACACTACCATGCAAGAGTCACAATCATGTGCAAGACAACGTTGCCACATTCAGGATCTTTGTGTAAGCAGTGCTTACACATTGCTTTCATAAAATAAACCTGTGGTTCTCAGGATTAAACACATGAATTCACATAAATGTATATTATGTAACACGGAAATCTGTATGGAATCACAGACGTTTAATGTTACTGTTGAGGCGAAGACAATTAATGTGTACATATGCAGTTTTGAAGCACATTTAAAAAAAAAAAAACATATTGTGCAGCTATAACCGAAAAAAGCTTCAAAATCAGTTGCATAAAGTGAAATCACAGTGTTTAATTGGACAATTCCAAACTAGTCAGGTTGTCATAACATTTGGTTATTTATAAATGTAAGTCTATACATCCAGTGCAAATAGAACAACAGCTAAACACTAGCAACTGATGGAGAAAAGCTGCTTCAAGGGTGGATTTTTTAGATGCTATGTCAAACCTATTATGGATAGATTCAGAAGAGTATGGCTTTGGTTGCTTGGTTACTTGTGAGATTTGTACATTTAATGCCTATTTTTTGACCTGTGATTCATGAACCTGTGTTCTGCAGCAAATAAATATAAGAGTTGTGCCATTTTTCTCTGCTGTCTTACCTGTTCAGGACTATTAGCTGGCTGAAGCCTCTGGCTGCAGGCTGTAGAGTTTGGCTGGGTCCTGATTGTCACAGACGTCAGTTCTGGACACAGAATTCACATTCAGACACATGCTAACCAACACACCAGAATCATAGGCGGCCGCAGCACCGTCACCAGATTGATCATCAGCAGCATCCACAGCAGCAGCAGCAGCAGGTGCAGCAGCAGCAGCAGTGGCAGTGACAGCAACAAGGGGGCAGCGATAGAGCAGAGAGATACAGCAGTGAGGGAAGCAAATCATTGGTGTTACAGTAATTGGTCTGTGAACCAAAAGGGTTAAGTGCATGCAAGATAAATGTGGTAGTGCCATACTTCAACATGCTCTTTGCCCATAACTGACTATTATCAAACATACAGGTATGAAGCTAATTACTTCAAGCTCTGCCAGTCATTCTGACACCTGATTATCTCCTATCAAAAGTAAATTGCAGGACCTTCAGTCGAAGCCAAACTGTTGCCTGTCAAAGATGGCCCAAAAAAAAACCCCTAATATTAATTAATCTGTTTCTACAAAATCGACATTGACTACATGGAAGTCTGCACTAAGACAACAAAAAGCAGCAGATGTTTTGCAGTAATCAAAGCTGGTGCCCCAGTCTTACCTGTTGTCATTGATATCTGTGGTGTTTCCTGTAGACAGAAAGAGGTGCATAAGGAAGCAGGCAGGTGCACAGTGAAAGGGTTGGTGGTGTGTAAATTAGGGGAGAAGTGGGTTTGTCACAGACACATATGGGTTTTACTAAAACAGCCCAAAGCCATTGGAGATAGATGACTTTGGAACAAGCAGCTACATACTGTGTTGGTTCTCAGACAACAAGTCCTTATTACATAAATGACTGAAAAGGGTGTTTGCCAGTGCATTTTAAAACAACCCATATGTGCATTTTACTCATGTGGTGACCCAATCAGCTAGGGAAAGAACAAGCAGCTGCAAAGATACAAGATTAAGCAACTAAAACAGCATAGTTAAGGTGAGGTAAAGATCAAGACCATGGCCAATAAATCCTGCTTAAAGCATGGTTAGGTTTATCCAAGTAAAATAAATGTGTTGAGGTTAGAAAAAGATGGTGGTTATGGTTCAAATACACCAACAACAGCCCCATTAACTGCACTCATTTTCCAGGGGTTTCAATGGTGAGTGCTATGTCAAATGTCCTCCTACTCCTTGCAGCTACTGTATTAATACAATCCTTAGATAGACCTGTGCCTCCCATTAACTATCCTGACAGGAATTAATCTAAAAAAAATATTCACTTGGCTTTTTATGTGACACATATTGACACCGAGGCAAATTTAAAAAAAGTAACATTTCTTTCTCACTCTCCAGCATCTGAGAAGTCTCTGTGTGTTTATTCATTCTTATTCATGGGGGAGAGTTTATTTCAGTTTGTGTGCTCTTTGCTTCAACTTGATGAGTTGGCTGTTATCAAGGGGCCTCATGCTTGACTGGATTAAAAGGCTGTTCAGTTTAATCTCTTAAAAAAAAGTTGTGAAATTAAAAGAAAAATCGTATCCTAACAGGAACTGTCAAGGCTACACCTCAACGGACTAAAACTAAAAAAGAAGTAAAACATTTGGGGTGCAGGCCTTGCAGACATCTTTAGCATTGCATTTTACACTTTTCCATAAGCTCTTATTGAAATTCATGACACTGAGTAGAATTATATCCCAGAGAGAAAATTACTAGTGATACACCAGAAGGAAATTTTCCCTTCTGAAAGTGTGACTTCAGAAGAAATTACAGTGTACAATGTTCCAAAATGCCATATGTCCATTTTAGGAAAAAGTATCAAACAAAATACTGAAAATCAAACACTTAACAGTACAATTATTCACAAATCTCATCTGAACTGCTGCCAGTGTTGAGTGTGACTATTTTTCATGCCAAAAAGAAACAAATATCAGTGTTTTCCCTGAATGTTCTTTTTGGCAGGAGGAGGAAAACCCTCTCAAACAGCATCATGGGAATCAAAAACTAAAACCAACCTGATTATATTCTTTAAGGATCCACGGGACAACATCACTGATATCTGTCATCTAATAAAAGGCATGTACTGCCGTAGCAGATTGATATATTGGCTCTAACCCTGTTTCTGACTTTTATTGATATTCCTGGAGAATCAAAGAGGTGTGGTGTCGTTACACAACTCTACAACTGTCATCACTGGGTCACAGGCTGAGGTGGACTCTCAGGCTGTCTGGCTGGCTATCTGTCTAGCTGAGTAATGACACTGCAACCCTAATCTATCTCCTCCAGAGTCTGTCGCCGATGGGAGCAGACACACAAACATAAAGACACACAAAAGCCTTAAGTAGAAGCAGCAGTATCCTATAATAACTAAAGAGAATTTCCATTGGGGATTTTTAAAGGATGACAGGCTGTATCCCACTAATATATATGGACACTTTATCCAAAGACTGTTGACCTATGCTGAAAGCCTCCTCCTCACTCGCCAATGTCTCAGTATTAGAGCCAATTACAAGAAGATGAAAGCAGTGAGAAAGAAAAAAACAAGAAGACAACAGCAGGCAGAATTGTTATCATAGCAGCGGGGCAATCATTGTAAACTGGTTTAACAGCCACCACTCTGTAAGAGTACATAAAACAACATCCAAACATAATAGTTGGAATGATGGACCCATAATGGAAACCACAAAAAATCGTTCATAATAAGAAGTGAAATTTACCCCCGCTGCTCTCGATCATAATATTCCTCATTATTTTAACAGGCATCATCTGAACTGGGCTCACCATTTTCCGAATCAAGCATCTCTGCGGTGCTCTTCTCTGCTTGGCTCAGGGGTTCAGCTGGAAGGCTGCAAATGCGACAAAGAGATGTTGATGTAAATATAACATATGTGTTCCAAAATCTTGAGCTTTATTGATATGGGCTTTGAGTTAATTAAAATAAAATAGTAATAAAACAAATTAAAATATAAGTGTACCCAAGTGCTCACTCAGCCACAAAGTAATAAATCAAAGTCAAAACAGATTAAAACAAACTGTTATTGTTATACGCATACATGAGGGAAATCTACAGACACAATAACTGTAAAACGCTTGACTGTTTAAGCTCTTTAAAAGTAGCGTACTATAATTCAGACCACAGATTATTCACAGATACAGTTAAAGACCTACTTTGCTTAAAAATGCACTCGCTAGCTGTTTCTTGAGCATTTAACTATATTTCCCAGTCTTCATCAGTGGATTGTTGTCATGACAAATAAATCTCTAGAGAAAGTTCAGTCAGGAAGACTGTCTGTAGTTTATTTCTCATACCATCTCGCCATTCCCTCCTCTCATGCTCGCTCACTCATAATGTCCTGGTGTCATTGTCTGGGGCTGTAAACAGTGACATAATCTGTTCTCATCAGCTGGTCACATCTATCCAAGAGCACAGACACACCTACATTGTTAGCTTAATATCTTGTTGCTGTCTTTTTAAATATGATTCTCTCTCCGCCTTCAGTATGTTCATGCTGCCCCCTCCACCTCCCCATCACTGCCCAGTCTTCACAGATTGATCATTTTCATCAGCTTCCTCATTTCATCAGTCGATCAGTCTTAGCAGAGTCATCAGCACCAGGGGGACTCTGGGGGATTTCTGCTCAGGGGCGGACACCCCTTGATTACAAAATCTCCCTGTAGACTCCAAGCACCAAAGACTTTCTGTCAAGGATTAATTATCATACATCATCTGTTTTAATAAACAATTATCATTACTTTATTCACTTGTCTCTCCTGATTGAACTGTAGTGTGGTTGAAAGCTCTGGAAAAAGCAAACAACTGGACCATCATTAGGATTATTCAAACTATTATTTAAAACCTCAGGAATTTGTTATGCGGTTGATGGAAAAGAGCTAGTAAGTGGACCTTGAGTCAAGACTATTTGTCAAACCTGCAGTAGATTTCTCCATAATGTTAAATTCTACTACGGGGTTTTCTCACATGTTGTCCTGAGCGTCGCTGTTGTGTGAATCGTTGGTTTGGGAGTCGTGGTGTTTGGTGGGGCTGTTCTGGTTGGAGTTGGCTTTGGGTAACCAGGGCTCACTCTCTGGAGTTACAGGAGCAGAAGGAGCAGCAGGAGCAGCAGGAGCAGCAGGAGCAGCTGGAGCAGCTGCTTCTTGGTTGTTGCTGTTGTGGAAACCAGCTTTGCAGAAGGCAATGGGGTGATCGCTGTAGCCTCGTATGAAGAAGGGGTTGGTTGGGGAGCAGGCTGGGTAGTGGCCAGGACGCACAGGTTTGGCTGTCAGTGAGAAAACACAATTGATGTATGAATTGATCCATTCATCCAGAAAAGACAAAAACATATTTATTTTGCCCTCAAGGGATAGTGTTACACTGGCGTCTGTAGCACAAAATAATACATTTGTAATGTGACTGGAATACCTAGAATATATTAAAGTCCAGTAGCCTTTTTTTCTGTTACAGCATACATGCTCTGTAAAGTGCTTGTCCTGTGTTCTCCTTTGAGAACAATCATCAATTTTTATGTTGTATATTTTGGCTTCATAAAGGTTATTTTGTATAAATTTGATGGAATACCAGGGACTATGTAGATAGAGACCTTGTTTCAATACAACCAATCGAATTTTATATAAAGCCGTAATGTCAGCGTTCTATCACTGGCAGAGCAGACGGTCACACTGAGCCAGACAGCAGCTAAACAACACAAGAGCCACAGACTTTGAACAACAACCCCCATTAACTTTCCTATTAAAGTCTCCCCCTTATCTAACTGACAAACCTAAACACGCGTCTTGTCCTGTACCTTGCCTTGTCGAATGAGCAACCGAAACAAACATTCACAGGGAGAAGGTGCGCTGCTGACGTCAGTTTGCTGCTCAGCTACAGCACATTAAACAGCATGTAAAACGGACCTGAGGTGCTAGTGTGGACCTTCATTCTTCAATACCACTAACAACACGACATCTCTCCATGACACGTAAGCTGCAGCTCAAGTTTGTTTACTTTGTCTCTTTTTCACTATGATGTAACACTGAGATACCTCTCCAACTGGTTGAGATGAAAAGGAGCATTTTTGATATTTCGCCAGATCTTTTTTGTTCCTTTAATGATAAAAAATATGTTTACATTCTTCTTAGAAAACAAAAAAGGATGACTAAATGCGATTTTGGTTTAATATACACAGACATATATCAGTAGCTTTGGTATGATCATCAAATGAAAATCATTATTCTGGAAACGCTTTCAAATCAATAACTCATTTTCTCACAGCAGCATTTGCATCTCATTTCTTTCACACAGAATTCAAAGCGCAATTATCTTCATTTGCCACAGCTATGAAGTGAGTCTTTGTGATAAAAATGGATTGTACTGCTTTTCCAATAAATTGTATTTCTCTCAGAAAGAGCATGTAAATCCTTGCATGAAAAATATCCCAGCCTCTTAACTATTCAAGTATAATTAAAGTTGAATAAATTCTTAGCATTTTGGTCTGACCATAAATAATGTCATCATTTATGGCAACTATCATGATTTTAGTTTCTAACAAATTCTCGAACATGTGTTCCACAGTGGGGAACCTGAGTCTCTGCTACTTCCAGTTCCTGAATATGGAACAAGATTGGTGTCGAAAACCTGTCTTGCAGCTCGCTCATGCGTGAGGAGGAGTTGTATGAATGTTCTGGTAAGGGGAAAGAAGGAGATGACAGATGATGGAGCATGAGGGAAGCAAATCCAACCATGGATGTCACCTGTGAGGAAATCACACAGCAGGGACATAAAAGGGATGGTTGCACCGTGCCGAAATATTTTTCTCACATTGTAAGGGCAAATGTCAGATAAGAAACAGGAATGGTATAGACAAGAATGTTTACACTAGCAATCCAAGCGGTGGAGAGGATTCACATTTTACGTTGTATGCTTTGTAGAATAGCTCCTTTAATAATTTACATGAATCTTAGCAGTATATTGAGACATTTGTCTTTATTCTACTACTTCTTCTTTAATGTTCCTCCTGCTATAATGTAATGTATAATCCTTTAATATTGCCGCTGCTTTGTTGAAACTGGGGGTGTATGGTATGAGTTTTGATGGGTCATCATTCACTCGGCTGCAGTGGAAATTATACATTAGACAGAACAGTAAAATTCGGTAGTAACAGAATTCCAGTGGATTTTTCAAGGGAAACTGAAACGCACTGGTTGATGGATTTACTTAACTTTGGCTTTGGATTTTTGCAGGTGTTACGCTGCACAGAATAAATTACTATGGTGATTGCACTTATTGTTTATTACTAAAAAAAACATACTTAAGGAATTCAGAAAAACTGCAATATGACTATATAAAATTTTATGGAAGGGTTTTTATAGACATGAAAATAGTTGTGTGTGTGTGATTTTACTGTGGTCTGAAATGCCAGAATTACAAGAAAGCAATTAATGTCCTAAACAGTAATGTAATAAAACCACTGGAATATTGAATGTATGGATGAAATGAATCCCTCCCTACGTACCATCCAATTACACAGCTTTTGTTAAAATGACACATGCAACCATATAAAGTTGTGTGTAGATCACTGCTGATGGCTGTTTATTATTTTGATATAGCTGAATCTGTGAGCGAGGTGCATGTGTTACCTATCTGTGCAGCATGTGGCCGGCGAAACGGATTGCGAGTCCTCATCACATCTTTGATGCGCTCCACTTCCTGCTGGTAGCGGTGGCGGTCCTTCATGGCTCCTTCCTTCGCCTCCTTCAGGGCGCCCTCCAGCGCCTTAACTCGCTCAGCTGTAGACCGAAGACGTTTCTCCAGTTTTGGAAGCTCACAGCGAAGATCTGCATTGTCACGCACCAGCTGTCACACACACACACACAAGAAAACATATAGTATACCTAGGGCTTGACTGAACATGTCAATGACCATACAACACTTTGTGTCATATAAACAGGGATTTATTTTTCTTTTTTTCCTTCTTTTTCTGTCAAGGATAACCATTTTCTGAATACAATTCATGAAGAACTTGTGTCCCTTTCACATTGTTATATGTACCATTTTGAGATCTGGAAATTATGTTTCACCATTTTTTTCCTTTGAAGAAGAACAAGAATGTAAATGTGATTTTATTTTTTTCTAATTTGTTTGACGACTTTCAGCAGCATCGTCCTGTTGTGGAGTGAGGTATCTGCCAAGAAGAGTACAACAATGAGTATAGTATACAACAATAGGAGTAGCAAAGTGACCACATAACCTTCTTGGTTTGAACTGGAACACTTCTGTCAGTTAGAACCAAATAGGTGCAGCGAGGTGGAACAGAGGAGTGCCAAGTGTGATCTGATGGGAAAATGTCTGAAGGCAAAGACAGGTTACTGCCTTTTATGTTGAGGAAACTCTCCTGACAAGTTCAGAGTGAGGGCTAACTCACCTGAACAAGCTATTATTAACTACTTACAGCAGTTTATATAACTAGCACAAGGGCATTTCACAAAACTAATGTGGGTTTTTTTGCTTTTAGCTGGCAACACAAACAAAGGTAATTAATGTTGATTAACTGTTCAGAGTTGCAATCAAGACTGTCTCATCCACTCTTTGGGAGGTCCCATTGACAAGCTGAAGGGAGGGACTGTGTACTACGTTTGACGAACCAACCAGTTATTCTTTATTGCCTTTGATTAATAGTGACAGCTGAAGGGTGACAGGAAAGGGGGGGACGACATGCAGCGAAGTGCCAAAGGTCAGAGTCGAAACCATGGCCCACTGCAGCAAGGACTCAGCCCCAGCTCCACCAGGTGAGCTATCCGGGTGCCCCACGTTAGTCTTGATCATTGAAATCCTTTCTCTTGTAAAAAATTTAAAATACAGTTTGAAAACTCTTCATAATCATAAATCAAAACTGTGTGATGCTTTTCCAAGTAACTTTTCTAGTGCAGCGGTTTCATAATGGGCTCATTAGGCCAGAGAACAGAAAACACCCGCTATTAGTTGACAGTTGGTGAGAAGTGCAGCAGAGGATGTTTTACCCAATTGCATTGCTGCATCTTTTGCTATCAAAAAATATTGATTGGTACATTTATTCTCAGACAATAAAGCCTGAACTGAGCTAATATGATAAAAAAATAAAATGATTCCCTTCTTTGAATGTTTTTTCATCCATGTTTTGACCAACCAAAAAAAAGTCTGACTACATAATAAAAAAGTCTTATCTCCACAAAGGAGTAAAAAAAAGTATGGTTTGGGTAAAGTATTAATACTAAAGAAAACATGACAAAAGCCAATCCCATGCCACATAATATAAAACACGACATGGTTGCTTCTAGATAATGGTCTTGTTTGTTTATGATTATACTCATGAGGCAAAATCCAAGCAAAGATTTATTGATTTTAAATTGCCGCTCACGTAATGTTTCTTAGTGGGAAAGTTAAACGTGAAAATCCAATAGCTGAGCAACTTAAACACTGAGAGTCTGCAGCTACGTGATCATGCAAACTAATCCACACCCTGCAGAGACACTAAGTACAAGACCTGAGGGTTTAGCAAACAGGGCAGAGTTATCTCACAGGCAAAGCAGGAAAGGGACTCAATAGAATTCAATAGAACTGCTGGAGGCTTGGCAGCACTATTTATTGTTTGGTGTCATTTTAAGGAAAAAACAAAAAAATGGGGGCCTCATTCCCACAGGGGGTAAGTGATGTTATAAGAGAACTCTGGACAGTTGTGTTGTGTGTGTGTGTGTGTGTGTGTGTGTGTGTGTGTGTGTGTGTGTGTGTGTATGTGTGTGTGTGTGTGTGTGTGTGCAGATAGATGGATAGACAGGCAGACATTACTATATATGTAGAGGGGCAGAGAAACGTAAATCCCCAGTGCACTGTCCACTGTCTGTCTTTGGGAGCCTTATCACTTTCTCCTGGGAGTTCGCTGATTTATGACCATGACTTTCATCTTCCATTCCCACAGTATCAGCAGGTGGTGGATGGGATGGAGTCTCGCAGCAGCCACTTTAGGATTGGTTTTCTGCCTGACAGACTGCTGCAGTGCAGCTCTCACCAATCTGCCAGCCTGAGTGTATGTGCCAGTCTGCAGAACGTTTAGCACATCAACACTTTGTCCACTTCTGTAGTCCATTTAGGAATATTAAAGAAAGATGTGAAGTTTTTTGAGCGCAAGGTTGCACTTGAGAGCTTGTGCGTGTCAGCTACAGAGAGGAGAAAGACTCAGTGTGTTTGTGTGCACCTGCATGACAAATTCATTTGTGTTTATCAATTGTGAGTTTTACTGTTTTATGCTGTGCGCCTTCCTTTCCCTGAGGGCAGCGTGGTTTAACACCTCCTGCTGCTCTGTTTTCAAGGAGACTTTCATGTGAAGTTACTGTAGTGAGATGATTGATGGTGCTAGCATTACTTTTGCCCATAGGAGAGCAATGACAAACAGCACACACTGCTCTGTATTTTAATTTGACTTGCTCTTTTTGTCCTCCTCTCATGTTCTATCCAGCTGAGACATTTCTGCCTTACTGCGGTTCTAATTTTTAAAGCAATGGGTGACAGAAAAAATCTGTCTCCTTTACTATAATTTATAGTTTTATATCTGTCTGTTCTTGTTACCTGCTTGTGAACTTTTGTAAGCTGGTCCAGGTTGTTTTCAAGAAAGGAAATCTTCTGTTTCTGGGTGATATATCCGCCGCTATCGTCAGGGTCCATCCCTGCACTCTGTTGACAGATACAGTGGAGATCTTTTAGCACTGCCGTTGCAAATACTGTAATTTGTTTTTTATAGTTAAGATGCGTCCGTCTTACTTTTCTAACTCGAGTGGTGAGGTCTTGAACAAAAAGCTTGCGGAGGTTGTGCAGGGTGTGGAGCTCACGAGCCTTCGGTATGAAGGGAGAGAGAGAGAGAGAGAGAGAGAGAGAGAGAGAGAGAGAGAGAGAGAGAGAGAGAGAGAGAGAGAGAGAGAGAGAGGAAATAGTGCAGTTAAAGCAGTTAGAGAGTATTTAGTGGATCAGTTGCCTCTGAGGGAGCCAAGTGAATCGTGACAGCAAATAATGGCTTACAACAGTCTCTTCCAGCCCTTTGAGGTCCTGCTTTGACTGCTCATGGCGCTCATGAAGAAATCTATAGACAGACAAATAGATACATACATAGAGAGAGAAAATTCAAAATGAAATCGCTTTACCGCATGAGGACCACATTCTTGACAGAATAATTCATGAATAAAGAACAAACGCAGCATGGACCGGCTGCCCCACTCGTGGGCTGTTACCCATCTGCCAATCTGATGCAATATGCTGCAAAGGTCAGTGCAGAAAGAGGCCTATTAGCAACCAGCTGCTACCTTATCTCAAAACTCCATAATGAAGATGCAAATAGAGTTACACAGAAAGAAAGAAAAAAGAGGCAAAGAGTGGGTTAAAACGGTTAGCTTCCAGGTAATTTACTCTCAGACTGTATGACTGAAATACACCACATAGAAAGACACATACTGTAAATAGAAGGCAGTCAGAGCTGAGGAGCGAGAGTAAAATAAATAGACAAAAGGAAGACAAATAACAGAGAGAAATGGAAGACGTGAATCAAAAGAGGCAGCTCGCCCCCAGGTCTCCATATGGTGAAGTGTTTGAAAGCCGGCCAGGACAGTAAAGCAAAAACTCACGTCAGTTCCTCCAGCTGCCGGCTCTTGTGATGCTCTTGGCACTTGAGACGTTCAAAGTCACAATGCAGTTGCTTCAACTCCAGATGCTGCTTCTGGTTACAACTGGAAAGATGAACAATGGCATTCAGTAGATAAATGCAAAATATTGGAAATATGGAAATAGATACTAGGAAGGATAATTTAACTTCATCTTAGAATTTTACAAATACATCTTCAGCTACTGGACAAGACATATTACAGGACACCAGAGAGGTTTATAAAAAGTTTTGAAATTGGTAAAAATGACTAATAGGATACTTGTATTGTGATGTTTTTTTTTTTTTGGTCAGTACAGCCGCCTCAATGTCACAGACAAAAGAATAAATTCTTATTTCCTGAGTCTGAGGAGTAAAGATCGAGCTCAGTGGCGTGCACAGACTTTCAAAGCGACTTTCGGAGCCAAAATGATGAGGAGGGACCATTTGTGCATGCAGGGTTAGGATTAAAATTTTCCTAAGATTGGCTGATCAGAGGGGTACATTAGTGGCGCAAGGTCATTAGGATACCAATACATGCTGATTTAAAAAAGAAATATGGCAAAACAGGGCACACCATGCCGCTGTGTGAACCCTAAATAGAAACAATTTTTTGCTCTTTTTGAATCTCAAAGAATGTATTATTTATAGCCGCTTTTCCTACTCTGCTTCAAGGATCTAAAGGCCCACTCTGCTCCTATTTCGGATGCTTTCTACCTCACTGACACCCATCCATCCATCCATCCATCCATTTTCAAGCTGCTTATCCAAATCAGGCTATGCCAGCAGGACAAGCAAAGCAGCCATTCATAATTCTCTGCAGCTGCTCCTTGGGTGTCACCAGTCACTCCCAGGCCAGCTGGGGAGTGTACTTTAGTCCCTCAAGAAGGCTTGCCCTACAGTCTGCTCCCAGACGGTCATACTTGGTACAGGACATTTTCTAAACATGGCACCTGCGGGGGGCATCTTTTCAAGGAGCCCGAACCAGCCCAGTTGCTCCTCACATTGTGGTTTATCAGCAGTTTGACTCTAAAGTCCTCTCACGCTGCAGTTTCCTCACCATGTCCACCACCCACACATATTGAATTGCAGCTAGGGCTTAGACTTTTTTTGAGAACTAAATTGGGGACTGTATATCCCCAATTTTAGCATTTCCACACTGCTTATGAGGGTAGAACTGAATTTCAGATTTGAGCCCACAGACAGCTGACACAGAGGGTAAGCTGTCTGCTTCTGGAACCATGTGACCTGCACTGTATAGTGCCACACAGACCAGTCTCAAAGGTAGAAGGAAATATGCCTTTTCCATGACACTTTTTTATTTTCTTTATAATTGATATCTTAAAATACTCCTGCACTTTTCTTTTTATACTCCTACACAAGTTACACATTTCTAAAGTGGACTCTTGATCAAGAAATCCTTATTTAGTATGTTAGATAAGAAGAATTATAATCAAAAACTGACTCAGTTAAGTCGTCGATGATCTTCTGCTTCTCATTGATCTCGTCTCGCAGGCGGCCAAGCTGTTTGCTGTGCGCCTCACGGTGTGACTCCATCTGCTGCTCTAGAGCCCTCTGAGGTATGGGCAACAAGAGGGGGTGAGAGACATACATATATAATGAGTGAGAGGAGAGAAACGGTACCAAGGGGTGGGAACAAAAGGAAAACAAAATGACTAAATAACAAGAGAGAATACAATTACACACACCAGTGCACATGTGGACATAGAGGGCCACATGGGCATTGGTACACACAGCACACTGCCGCTGTGTACAATTGGGGACATGGCTAATGGAACTGGAGCGTGTCACACACAAACACACTGACATGCCAAAAAAAAACTCTTGTGAACATGTGCAGAAATACAGGCAGATAATAAACAAACAAACACATACTTCCAGCCGTGCAGGAGTGTTTAGGAGCTGAAAACTACATGTGTTGCATGTTTGCTGTAAGGTTGGAAGGCAAAGTGAGCAACTGCCCCGCGGCCCCAGACCTCCAGGGGCCTCAAAAACTGACAAAAACAAGTAATTTGATTACTTGTAAATTTGTTTGGGGATTTGCATCACTAAAGTCCAATATCAGCTCTATCCTGCATTGTTATAATCTTGCAACCCTATCTATAAAGGGACACCTTTATCAGTTTAGATTATATTTTTTCTCACATGGTGCATTTTCCTAAATTAAATTGCTATAATCTAAAAGACATACAGAAAACCTGAGGCCTGGTAACATTCCAGTATACTGGTTTGTTTCTGGATCCCTGTGCAAAATATAATGAAACTACCCTCTTTATTTTGCTGTGTGTACTGTATGTGATGGGAACTTGGAGATAACAAAGGCCCAAGAGCAAATTAGTGCTGGAATTATATATTGATTAAGTCATTTATCAAGGAAAATGCGAAACATTTGCTATTGTAAATTGAATATATTTGAATTTGGACTGTTTGACTGTTAATTGAAGTGATCACAACTCGCAACTGTAATAGGCATTTTTCACAAGTTTCTTACATTATGGGGTAGATGAGAACATGTATACCACTCTCATGACTATACAATACATATTTACGTAGAGCTAGTAAGCTTAGCTTAGCATAAAGACTGGAAACAGGGGGAGAGAGTTAGCCTAGCTCTGTCTAAAGGTAACAAAATATGTCTACCAGTACCTCTGAAACTCACTTGACATCTTTCTTGATCAATCTGTAGCAACATTGTAGTATAAAAATGATACATTTCCATTTTACGGGCAGTGTTAGTTAATCTCTTGTCTGGGACCAGTTGTTAGGTAACCAGCAGTAGAATAGCAACATATCATTTTCATGCTACAATTTTGTTACCTTTGGACAGAGCCAGGCTAACTGTTTGCAGTGGTTATGCTAAGCTAAGCTAACTAGCTGCTGACTCTAGCATTATATGTACTGTACAGACAAGTAAGCTGTCAGATGAATCTAAAGCATAATGAAAATAACTTTTGCAGCCCTGGTTTACATGCAAAACCACTTCCACTCGTGATCCTAATGTACAAGCTCAGACACAGTACACTGACACATGAATGCACACTAATGGAAGCAGTCGCAGACAAACCATGCATATATAATAGAACTGGATACAGCAGTGCCGCTCAGCACTGCTTCCAATTTTGCCCAGTGGCTACCTGCAGCCCAAAACATTTTTTTCCCCCACAGCTCACCATTATAAAACAGACGTCACAAGACACTTCAAACTGCAAACAAGGTCTACTACGACCCTTTCTATTATTAATTTTTGATCCATCGAGGTTAACTAGAGCTGAGAAAATCAATTTAAAACCTGAAATGTCATCACAATGTAAAATCTATGGGCCAAGTGAGAAGACACACTACTACTGCATTGCAGAACTAGGAAACTTTTTTGGCAAATGTGCCAGGCAAGCAATTTTTATTGGACTGAATAGGCATCAGGTGTCTAGTTCTATTATATATCTATGAGACAACCATATCACACACACGCAGATCTGCAGTTAGCTGAGTGCTGAAGTGGTGTGATAAAAGGTCATAACACTAGTCATGATTACCTTTATATCACAGGAATCCTGGACAGATGTGTGATTTTCCCCCCTGGTCATCTGTGACATGCTCTCTGAAACACACACACACACACACACACACACACACACACACACACAAAAAAATTAGGAGAAAAGACAGAAAGAGAAATCCAGTGAGAGAAACCAAGACAAAGAGAGAGAAGAAAGAAGAGGAAGAGGAAAGCAGGAAGACAAAAGAAAGTAACACGGTGATGTAGATGAAAGAGGTGAGACTGACCTGACTTTGACAGCACAGCAGTACTACCGCTTGATGTTGACAGTGAGGTCAGCGTGATGTAAGTCGTGCCCGGGGTGTAATAATATCTATTATTGAAAATGACAGCTATTGTGTCACGCTGATCTGATCTTTTGTTAACACACTGCTGTGCCTGGTGTCTGATGATGAAATTACCGAGCCCTCTACCTCACACCAGACTATGAGAGCGACATGACCTGCAGCACTTTGTATTTATCTACTTCTGTAATGACTCTAGGACCGCCTGGCTCTGGTGTGGAGTAAAGGCAAAATTGATTTACCTGCCCTTAAATCCACCGGTTATTTCATGCAGTTCTATGGGACTCCTCAGGAGGAATGACTTACATTGCTTTTGGCCTGATTTGTGAATTGTGTCAGCGTCCTGGGAGTATCTGCAGTTAGGTGGACCGCGCACAAATTTCAAATGTACCATTAATCTCTTCGTGCTGGTGCTGTGAAATGTTTTGGAGCCTAAGCTGTTCATCAGTGTTTACCCCTTGTTTTTCTTTTTCTTGACAGGATAGAAAGGCCCCTGGCGCTGACTGAAACTATCCATTGAAGCTAATAAAATTGTTTTAAGCAAGGAGGCACTACCTCTCAGTTCTAGTTCTAGTGGAGCTGAGATGCACTGACAGATGTGTTGTCTTTTTTATGTTTTCCTCTATCCTGACATGATTTTATTTGACTGTGTCAGAATATTCACCTTATATTTGACTTTGGCATCTCAAGTCAGCAGTTTGGCAATGTTTACGATGTAGATGAATTTAAATATTGTCCTTAACTGTGCAGTGAGTAAGAATGTCACACAGCACTTAGGAAATCATTACTTATCATTTCAATCCCTGCAGCACAATGTCATTTTAATAACTTGTGCTTCTGTTGGACAAATATTCTCAGTTTAAACCTGCAGTATTTATTGAGCAAAGATCTGTTTTGCTTGCTGTTTTGTGACATGGTTGATTGGATTTTCTATTGGAGCCCTGTATTTTGCCGGATTTTTCAACCATACGCTTATTGTTTGGCTTGTCTGACCATATTGATAGTTTCCTCCTTCACCTTAGAGTCTGAATAAATGTTAAACTCTTTGCTCCTGGTTTGTAATTTTGGTCACGTAGGTAAAATATCTCAACCTGAGCCTGGGGCAAATACACTTTTATTACAAATACAGAACCTTTTTTTATATGTACTGCACCACGTTTATGCAATATCGATCCTTGAACCTCAGGTTTGGCTAGATTGTTAGATTTAACCTCGTAAGCTTGATTCATGCACTTTCACCAAGGTGCTGAATTCTCAAGCTGTCTGTGTGTTTCAATATTTCTAAGTATAAGTAGTACACTGATATTGTCTGTCGTTTTAGTAACACACACTTGGCTATATGGATCGCAATATTGGTCTGTTGGTCCATCACTTTTGTCCAGACTGAAATATCTCACCAACTATTGGATGACATTTTGTATCATGGTTCAAAGGCAATGATTCTACTGACTGTGTTATAAGGTCGACATTTGTGGTTTTAAGTGAATTCTCTCCACGACTATTAGATCGATTCTCATTCTTACTTTTGTGATCCCTTATAAATTTGCCCAGTGCTTTGGTTTATGATTAAATACCTGCAAAACGAATAATCTGGTTGTCACCCTCAGCTATGGCTAACTAAGAACTAAGATGATGAAAATTATTAACATTATACCTGCTTAACATCAGCATGTTAGCATTGTCACTGTGAACATGTTAGCTGACTTTAGTTAGTTACATTGTGTTTAGTGCTCATTAGCAAATGTTAGCATAGTAACACACTAAACTAAGATGGTGAACATGATGTACCTGCTAAACACCAGCATGTTAACAAAGTCATTGTGAGAATGTTAGTTAGCTCCGTGAACTATAGCAGAACCATTACACTGGCCGTAGACTTTTAGTCTTGTTTGTTGATTGCATTATTGAGGAGGCTACTGTTGTACTTCAAATATGATGATTTTTTTTGTTTTTTAATCATAAAATGTTGCATTAGTCTACCTTGAGCTTGGAGTTGGGCCAGCTCCTCGCTCAGAGAGTCATAGCTGTCCTCCAGGTGTCTCTTCTTCAGCTCCACATTCTGCATGTAGTCTGTTAGAGAGCGTATCTTTGCCTCATGCTGAAAGTCAGAACATAATGTCTCAGATGCAGAAAGTATACTGATGAGCAAAGGACCTCTATGCAAGAGAACACTTTACGACAAAGATAAAATGTACTTTTTACTCAGTGTGGATATGTATGATCTAAGTTGAATATTTATGATCTTTGTTGATTAGGGAATTTCATTAAATACAAAAAATATTAAAACTCACAACATGACTCAATCAATCATATCGAAAAAAAGAATACAAAACATGCAATCCTTACAGAATCGGGACAGTTTGCACGCTAAAGGCTTCGGCTGCAAAAACTGTGTCACTGCCACAAACAGTTGAGTGACATTTCGAGCACGCTGCTCCTCATCAGAGTAATTAACATCATACATACTTACGTAGGCCTTTGTGTGATGTTAATTACTCTGATGAAGAGCAGCATGCTCGAAATGTCACTCAACTGTTTTTAGTGATAATTGATATTGGGAGGTGTCCTGATTTTTCCACATCAGCACCAACATTTCCCACTTGATTGACAGATTAACTAACTTTATTCCGACAGCAGATGTTTTCAAATAGTTCCTCCAATGCTTGTATCCGTCCCTCACCTGTGAAACGAGGAGGTGACATGAGGACAGCTCTCTGCCTGTCTCCTCCATCTTGCGGTGACACTCCGTCTGAAGGTTTTCCAGGTGGCGGCAGCGCTTCACCATCGACTTCACCTCTGACTTTATCTTGCTGATGTAGAGGCGAGCCACTGTGAACTCCTCCTCGATCACACCAGTAATCTCCATGGGCTGGAGACAAAGAGGAGAAGAGAGAGTTAAAATACTAGTTTGGTTAAGATTGAGTGGGGACGATTTAAAGACAGCTGGGAAGTTAAAGAGGAAAGGAGGCATCTTAGAAACTGACTGCCATTTTATTTGAACATCCATTTGGTTCACAGCATCATTTAGGAGATGCTGTGACTCAAATGCTCTGAAATAGCAGTGCAGGATTGAAAATATACTCACATATCAAATTAAATCTAAATATTACAGCAAATATATGTGGATATGCCTATAACCTGTCCTCAGGTGCATACATATAGTTTGCTGAATATCTATTATATAATAAATGGCTTTTCCACTGGATCATCAACCATAATCACACAGACAATTGTATTAAGGATTTGTCAATTGTCACAGATGCCAAATATGTCAGGTTAAATTAGAGAGAAATTTGTATAAAATTATGCAAGAGACATTTTGAATTTTCCACTCTGTCTCTTGTTTTTATATTTCACTGTGTGATAAAAGCTTTAGTGAAGCTTTGGAGCACCCACACCCACAGCTCTACCAGCATCCCATCAGCAACACCACTCGTCATGTGTTCATTTGAAAAGGAATTTTGATCTGTAAAAATAGTTTATTTTAACACTATTAATTATATAATTAAAAATATTTACATTAACACAATTTGGTGGCATAAACTGGACACTTAAACGCTTTATCCATTACTCTTAGCTACGTATAATGACTTCTCTGTTGGCTTTCTAACTAGTAACTAGTCTCAATCGCAGTGCTCGAGAGTGTTACTGACTCAGGTTGGTGGGTGTGTTCGGTTCATTAACCTAGATATCAATATTTTGACAAGATTAGCCTCACAACAATTTGTAATCACTTACAAATTAATAATGGATTTTGTGGTGATGTAAGCAGGAAGTGTCAAGGAGTCAGTCAGTAAACTGTGAGTTACACGCTGAGCCTTTTAAACATGATATTATTTATAGCACCATCTGCACCATGGAGAGAAGATCTGAAGTAGCGTCTTTTTAATATGATTTTAAAAATATGTAAGAACATCTATCCACAGACATGGCGTGCTCATTGGAAAGAACAGGATGTGCCGATCCCAGTGTATGACATCTGTGTGCTATGAGTTTAAAAAGAGGAGGGTGGTTTTGAAGCAAACTGCATCAATTATGCCCCAAAAGTTAAATGTTTCTTGTAACTTTGACTGTTGGAGAATATGGGGATTCCAATGTTTAGAAGTTAAATATTCAAAACTTTTATTAAACTTAATTTTTTTTGTCACAGATATATATATATATTATATTAGTTTCTCCTGTTTTATCACAAGTCTGTTTATTTCAAAACATCCCTGGTAAGTGAATACAGTGTCTCCAAACCTGCACTGTGCGTCCCACTCACCAGCTTGATGTCTCTGTTTCCAACGATGGTGCTGAACTCACTCAGGTCCCTCATCAGCCCATTGAGAATCTCAGCGATGCGTTTCCTTTGGTGGCTGCTCACTTCCTGGATACGGGACAGCTCCGCCTCTAAAGCCATGAGGTGAGCCTGTGGGAGGAGAGGAGTGAAACGAGGGCAAAGAGCAGAATGAGAGAGGTGTTGTTGTGTGAGATGAGCAAGAGAGAAAACCCAGAAGAGGGGAGATGGGAAATAACAGCTGAATAATCACAAGAAAATTGTATAGCAGAGGATTGAGAGAGGGAGGATTTAGAGTCCTTTAACCTGAGAGCACACACAGCTGCGAGACACATTTTAACCCCTGACCTCATTCTCATCCAAGAAATCCAAACAGCAAAACATAATGGCCACTAAATTACAAATCAATAAACTACCGGGATAGGGGTTGATGGCATTGGCGCTGGATGAAAGGATCTGGGGAAGTGACTGATGGAGCTTTCTTTATCCTTCTCCTTTATCCTTCCATTTTGTACAGCAGGCTGTGACTATACAACGCTGTAGCCCCAACGACTTCAGTACAATTAAACAATTTGGATTCAATCGATACTCTACAGGTCTGATGAAATAAAGTGAAGGAAGGGTGGTGCACTTTGTCTACCTTGGAAAGAATTTATTTCTTATTGGAAAACGATGCCTAAATTTAGACCTAGAAAACTCCTTTTGTTGGTTAGCGCCATAGCCAGGATTTTAAAGATCATAAGCCCAAATGACCCTAGTGCAACAAATCAAACATTTCAATTAGTAGAGATGGTTTCTCCAAAATGCCAGGATAAAGTCCTGATGGAGAAATTATAAATCCCTATTTTATTTTTTTTATTCAGTAATATTTTTTGCCAAGAAATAGGAAACAAAGAAATTATATATTTTTTTACTATAATAATTGAGGAATGACCTTGATGTCCTCAATCATACAGTAGCTACAACCTTGTTTTGGTTTAGTTAAGTGTGACCATTAGCAACACAAATGTATTCATTTCATAATCTTTTCTGGCTTAAGTCTTTTCCTATACTGGTGGTGCTACACACAGTGTTTCATTTCATACTAAGTAGATCATCTATTGTCATATAAATAATGTACTTGAGCTCTTTTTTAATGGCGCATTCTAGGATATTGGCCCTATGGATCATCAGTCACGTAAAGGCACCATTAACCACCTTCTTAAATACAGTAACATTTACTCCTCTCCATCTTCATCTACTTCATTAACTTTAGGCCATGTGATCATTTTCCAGGTCACTTCCCGTGTCAAAACATTAACTTTTGCAATAAATAATGAACTGAAATTGATTCATTTATGAATAAGTAAAAAGGAGAGGTGAGGTTAAAGAAAAATGTTTAGTTAAAGAAAGATTTATGAAGAGATTCTGAAGAGAAGTGATGTTTGGTTGAATGATGAATGGAGTTCATCATAATGATAGAAAGGGGCTTAAGTGGACGGATGGATGAAAGAAGGTGTTTAAAGGAGCCGATGAATGGCAGTGACAGTGAGCGATGACATGGCCTCCTGCAGAAGAAGACTGAGGTTCCCACTGAAAGCAGAGATGAAGACAGCTGAGGAGACGGTGGGGTGAATACAGTGATGAATGTACTCCATTGCACGATTTTTCTAGGTCAATGCTGCCCCATTTCTATATGGAAAATTTTAAAAAGCCACAACACTGCACATTAGCATAACAGCTGGGATGCAGTGAGTGGAGAACTGGTAATAAAGAGTCAGTGGGGATAAAGCTGGAAAAGGCCCTGAGAAGCTGAATTAATGGGATTTTTTATTAGATTACTGTATGGTTTCTTGTATTCAGTTTCACATCCGAGGTCCTGAGAGGATTTTGAGTCAGGTGAGAGGTCAGGCCAGAACATACTGAAGAGGCCACAGAGACTGTGAGCTAAGTGAAATGATTGAGGAACAGAGAGAGGTTTCAGCTGGCTTTAGCTGACTAAACTGTGCAGTGAGTGGTTATATTGTCAAATCCTTTCATCAATTTCTGGACCAGCTTCTGAGAAAGACAAAGGGGGAGGGCAGGACACCGTGGCAGATTGTAAAGTGGTGCATGAAATATTGAAGAGGTTTTAAGAAGGTGAATAATGGTCCACTCCGTCTACTGAGTCAGTCACAATAACTTTATTAAGGACTCTGCCGATGGTTTTTCTTTTGTTGTTATCTCTACTTGACTTTTTGACTTTTTAATCTGCTTCATCAGGACTGTGTTGCTGTGGTTTGATTGAAAATGACTGTCCTCAGTTTCTCATTCAAATGTTTCTAAACTCTGATTGATGTATCGATACACATGACATCACTTTCTTCTTCAAACCAGTGAAAATTTACAGAAATCTTTCATGTTAAATAACTAAAGAAAAACAGAAAAAACTTTTCGTTTCGTTTATGTAGGATCCCAACACTCATACTAAGGATTTCAGGGCATTTCAGCCCTAATGACTTAAAATAAAACATCTTCAGACCATCACTAATTGAAAATGCAGTTTTCAAGGCTTTTCAACGCCTTCTCAAAAATGGTAATGAAATAAACAGTTTTTAATAAAAGCAGAATATCATTAATAATTTAATTTCCCAGGCTTTGCAGATAAATTATACCAGATTGAAATAACTACAAATTAGTCTTTTAGAATGCCAAAACTGCCCTCAACCACAACCTTAAACAAGCTATTCATTGTTTCAGTCAACGGAATTTATGAGATTGAATACTGACCTTAATCAAGAAAAGTCAAGCTTGTGCTCTTGTTAGCTGCAGGTTTTAATATTTTCTAGTGTTTATTTGTGGTCAGAGTGCAAAACAACCAGCCATGATTGAATTCAGTGACTGCGCAATTTGAACCAGTAGTTGTTTATTTTCTTGAAGGACAGGGACTTAGATGGATGATTTTTTATATCTACGAATGCGTTTTTTCTGTCTTTTTCCTAAATGTGACTTCCTACTTTATATATATCACACCACATTATGTCCATGTCTTTATCAGTTTTTGCTAATGCTAGGACGATTATGTACCCATCAGTCTCTGTCGCTGCCTCCTTGTCTTTTTCAGTTCTCTTCATCATTCTTTGTCTTCTCCCCTGTTCGGCAAATTTTATCTGCAGCGTACATTCAACTTTATGGTATGAAACTGAGCCTCCATGAAGCCAAACCCACCATTTTCTTTGCGAGCTCTTCAGCCAGCAGCTTGTTCTGCACGCTCTTCTCCTCTACCTCTAGGCTCTTCTGGTCATAGTTGACTGCCAGCTCCTCCAGGGCCTGGAGAACTTCCTTCACCTCGGCTTTAGCAGATTCATTCTCTGTCTGCAGCCTGCCGAGCTCTGACTGCACCTTCTCACTGTCACCCCTGGATGATGCCAAAAGCTGAGGGACACAAAAATTTTAATAATTTTAATTAAAACTAAATAAAAAGAGATCTGGTTTAAAAAAAGAGCTGAGAAAGACAATTGTATAGGAGCGTTGTGTACAACAATCAGCAGCTTCATTGTTATTCACAAGGCAGATCTGCTGTGTACAGCAATAAAGAAATGATGGGGTTTATCTTGTTCTCTTGCTATTAATACAGAAGCAGGTGTACAAACCCTGTTACACAATATAGGTGTAATTTAGCAGATGAAACATATTTTAAATATTCATTTTTATATTCATAGACTATCACTTGCCACTATAAGAGCTGATATTACTCTGCCACCGAGGTGTTTGCTTGCATGTGCACTGCTGCAGCCCACTGTGGGTCATTTTACTGGATGGGTGTCATTAAATGTAGATGTTGCTCTACCCAGGGTGCCGGTGTGTTTGCACTGTAGCACACATATTCTGTTTGTCTAAATGTGTGTAAAATCATGTTACTTTACACAAGCTGGGGTTGTTGGTAGTTACCATCATGTCAGCCCAACTCACAGCAGGCCCATTTTGGGTTATGAATGAACTGAATGTGAAGTCTTTTACTTGGCTGTGTACTACATCCTAAAGCTTGGTTCAGGCTGTTTGGCCCACTGGTTTAGCTACTGTTATTAATACATGCTGTAAATACTCTTCTTAATTACCTTTTAATGGAATCTTGTAATTTCTGTACTTCTAACAAGTAGCATATACAGGCAGACCCGTTTACTGTAGATTTGTGTGAGAAAAGGGCCGTAAACCCTTTTCTACTTCATAAACAGTCTCTAAATTGATAGAGATGGTGGAGTCATGCTCTTCCACAGCATTTTAAATCACATATCAGATCATTAAAGAGTTTGTTTGTTTTTCAGCTACAGTGTTACAATGTCAGCCTACATGCTTCAGTGCTTCATCAATCTCTGTATTGACGATTCCTTCCAGTCAATTGTGTCTAAGCAGCAACTGAAACCTATTCTAATTTAAAATGCTATTAACACACAAATACGCTCATGAGCCAACAATAATGCTGTATGTTCTTCAAGTGCTTTCTGGTGTTTTTCTTTCCCTCATTCATCTCAAGGGCAAGATAATAAACCTCTCATGGCTGAGTTCTATTCAAAGTGTGCTTATGAGTGCCACATTTGCAGGTGCTGTCTACTGTGGGCCGTTGAACCAAACTGATGAAAAGATGTAAAACTGAAGTCTTTTACCTCCTCCTGGTCGAGCATCTGCTCCTTCAGTTTCTCAACCATCTGGCTCTGGTGGTTGATCTCATCATCCTTCAGTGACAAAGAGACACGTTGAATAGAAACAGTTCATTTACAGTGCGATGTATTACACACACTGATACAGTACAGATTGTGCTATCTTGTTTACTTTGGGTATCATGTTCAGTCACAACTATACATTTGCACTTACCTGTATAAATGAAAGATGTGCAGTAGTTTCAATACTTATTTGAGAGAAATCATTAATACTGTATAACCATAAACAAGTATATCAAGAAGGGTATGATAAATTACTGCTCTAACAGCAGTTATTATTTAATGTATTTATATTTGATGGTCTGTGGTCAACTGATAATGCATGCCATAATGGAAAAATAAAGCTCTCTAAATGTTAAAACTCTGCGTGTAAGAGAAAACATGTCCTGTGTATAAATAAACTCAGCATGTAACACAGAATATCCTACATCAGGATGCTATAGCTGGTATACCATATAAAGTAGAGAAAAAATAAAATGTATGCATCCCCATGGATTGCCCATCAGAATATGTGCAACTGCACTGTCTGCATGTGTGAAAACGTTAAAAGGGTTATATGTTATATTTATTCACATATGCATTGTACGGGGAATACAAACTGTCCTGTGAATTGACACACAACTGGTTCTGCCTATTCAATGTAATATCTGATGATAAAAACTTACATTACAGCCCTATGGAGCACAGCATACACGTGATGATGTGTTAAATAAATTAAAGCTTTAATGCTTTTCAGTGTAGAACATTACTATTTCCCAATGGCATCTATTCCTAATAGTTGCTAGATTAGTCACCACTATGTGTCTGATCCTGAATTCATTAACATGAATAATACATGTATGATATTCTCTTTGTATTCATGTGTACATACCATTAAAAAAAATCTCTACATTCATGCATATAAACAGGCCTTGTGCTGCATCTTTTCATCACCTTATCATCCAATTGTTTGTAAAGCTTGCGGATCTCCTCCTCATACTTCTGTCGCTCCTCCTCAGAGATGTGAACCACAATGGAGGAGGCAAGGGAACAAGGGCTGCAGGGGCTGCAGATGTCAAGAATTGGCACCTCAGATTCAGGCGGCACCAGGGGGACTTCCTCCGATCCCGGGCTCAGATGCTCTAACACAACACCCTCACCTAAACACAAGGGACAAAATATTATATTTTTTTGTAAATGTGTTCCTCTTATCTCTGGCAAATCCCCCTCTATGGATTAATGCATAAACAGGGATTAGTGGGTTAATCTCGGTGTATGTCCTTTCCTTACTCATGAATACATTTACATCTCAGGTGTGAGATATTTCTGTTATAAATGAGCTTCCTTTTTACCATCTCAACACCCCACAGCATACAAATTACCAGACCTATATAACACTGACTTCTCGGTTGTCTTGTGTCTGGCTTTGGCTCAGACTCGTCCAATTTTTCACAAAGAAAAAGGCTGTTGAAAGCAGAAAAGTGAGAACATTCAGTATGCTAATTAAGCACAAGTACAGCCACTTAATGGCACTAAGAACACAGAAAAAGTCTTAGACTGACTGCTACTCTGGATTGTAACGATTTACTGGCTTGATGCTTTACCTCCGGCAGCATCAAGAGGTTTACGCTGACGTGTCCCCCGGGATAGAGTAGCAGGAGGTGGTGCAAAAACTACTTCAAAGCACAAAACCATACATGCAACACAACAGGGGGATGGATAGGTTATTGATAAAGAGTATGATCCTCTAATATAATTGACATATTCAATACATTTACATTAGACATACCAACCCTGTTTAATCACATTTTTGTTTTGCCAAAGGACACAAAGTATGTGGTTAGGTTTAGGCACCAAAGCTTGGGTTATGGTTGGGTAGTTAGGGAAAGATTGTGGTAATAAAATTAAATGTTAATAAACATGCTGTGTCTGAAGTCACTGTGGACTTTGTCTATATTAAACAAGATCACAATCTTTCCCAATTCTTTAATGTGCTATGAATGCCCGAACACAACCATAAAAATGTTTCATACTGCTGTTGTCCCTGTGAGTGAATATTGTATTGCAAAATCTGATATTTTAGCAGCAAAAGAATGAAATACATTGTCAATGAACATACGTTGAATTTTTAGCCAAATGGTATTTGTTGTTGCAAATAGTTATATATAAATATAATTTCTAAGAGACAGGGTTGATGCAGTATATCAAGCCACTTTCTGCTTTTTCCCTATTTCTAAAGACACATCAGTATTAACCTCTTGATGCTGAGGGCTAGGCTTTAACAGCTGCCAGTCAACACCCTTTTCTGTGTTCTTCATGTGCCTGTACGTACAATTTTTCAAGCATTCACTGGCTCCCCATCCTTGTTTTTTCCCTTGATAACTGAACCGTTAATCAGGATGAATTGGGAAAATTTAGTAGTTTGCCCCTTTAAGACAAGGTCAAAGTAATCCATTGTTGATACAATACAGCTACCTGACACCTTTCACTGATTACATCTTCTTGTCCAGTTGTTGGAGGTGCGCCAATCAATAAAAACAGCCACATGGTCAAATGCGACAAAGACCTAAAAACACGTGATTGCACACCGTAAGAGATCCCCGCTCTACACCACAGAGGGAGGCGATGTGGTGGAATTTACTGTAGGAGACAGCTGTTCATGTCTTTGGGCCATCCTTGACTAAAGAGTCAGATAATGTGGTACAAGATGGAGGTCAACAGCATTCGTCTCAGGGAGTTCCTAGCCTGTGGTGGGCAACAATATAGGGAGCAGTGAGGGGGGAATGGGGGCAACTATGTTGTCAAGATGATCCATTAGGAAATTAAAAGCACTAAATTGTGAGAGCGGAAGAGAGTGGAGGGAGAGATTGTGTGTGTGTGTGTGTGTGTGTGTGTGTGTGTGTGTGTGTGTGTGTGTGTGTGTGTGTGTGTGTGTGTGTGTGTGTGTGAAGGAGAATGAAAGTTACTGAGAGGGATGATGCAATAAAAGGAATCATTTTCACTGATAGGTGTTCAATAAAGATGTGTTACAGCATTTTTAAAATTCAGGTCAAGCACTGAGGGAATGATCTTCAAGAAAAACATTGAACAGGATTCATTACACAGCTTGAATGTCAACCTGATCACTACCACTGAGAGCCCTGACATTTGAATTGACCGACAGTCCAGCAGGAGAGGATGCTTAGAAATGTGTGTATGTCTGTGTGTGTCTAATTAGGAGTGTGTGTGTGTGTGTGCAGTGCTTCATGTGCTTGTGTTTTTTGTGTGCACTGACACAGGTGTGTGTGTGCTGACAGGGGAGAGGATCAGTGTAAGTTATGACTTTTCTGTAGATGTGATTAGCCGTTGTCACTGTGAGGATTACTAATACATAAGGATTCATAAAACATAAAGCCTCCAGCGTTTCTTACCTTCAGCACAATGTGAGGGGAATCCAATTATACAAAGTGTAAAAGTCTGAATAATACGAAATAGAAAAAGCCAAAAAGGGATTTTTAAGTGTTTTGGGCTCAAGTCCAGAAAGTCTGTGTGGCTGCTCTCCCCCACCCCATCTCTACTGGCATGTATTCAGATGATATCAAATGAGGTTAAATCTGCACTTACTGAAAAATAATGTCTGCAGGCTGGTAAAATTTTCATTCCTGTGAGTCAGTCCTCTTCCATGCATGAAAAGGGAGTGGAACAAGGAGATATAGTGTAGATATTTTTCTATAAGGGACCAGGTAGCTGGACTTGACTCTCAGGGCTCTGCAGCACAAGCTGCAAACACAATGCCTCTAATTTTTTACTGTCTAGGAGCCTGATCTCTTACCATACTAGTAACTCTGTGAGGCTCTGTGAGGCTATACCTTGACACAATTGTGCTTTGAGCAAAACGCTAACTCAGCATGCTAACATATTCACAGTGACAATGCTAACATGCTGATTCCAAGTTGGTATAATGTTTACTATGTTTTCTATGTTCATTTAGTTAGCATGCTAATATTTGCTCATTTGCAATAAGCACAAACTGCACCTCAGGATGATGGGAATAAGTTGTAAGATCATTAGTTTTGCAGAGACCAAAATATTGATGAAATTAAACGATCAATTAGACGCTTGATGAAATGAGTTATTAGTATACATCCTGTGGGGAATATGAATGTCTATGCAAAATTTTATAGCAACGCACCCAGTAGTTGTCAAGACAATTCACTTACCATTCAGTTGAAATGTCAACTGAATGGTGTTTGATGAAAAGTCAGGGGATCACCAGAGTCATTAGAATTCATCCTCTGGGTTTTCATCCAATAGAAGATGAGATATTTCAGTCTGGACCAAAGTGGTTGGCCGACCACACACACACACACACACACACACACACACACACACACACACACACACACACACACACACACACACACACACATACAAACTTACAAACTTATTATTATTCAGACATTAAATACAAAATGTTGTGATACTGTCAAAATGTCTGGGCAACAATTTTCACAGCTCTTCCCTGAAAGAAGATTTAGATATTCTGTGGTTCTGTGAGCAGCCAGTGTGATAACAGTGTGAGTATTACCGTTCCTCCAGCGGTTGAGCTCAGCCTCCAGTCTTTGAACAGTCTCCTTCATTGACCTGTTCTTCTCCTTCTCCTTTTCGTACTTCTTCTTCCACTGCTCTGCTGTGAGCTCCAGGTTCACTGATACAGTATTTCTAATGGTCTTGGCTCTAATTGGCGGGATGCAGGGAGAAATAGAGAAAGAGCACAAAAGAGAAAAAAGGAAGTAGGCAGTGTGAGAGTAGGCGAGTGAGAGGAGGAGATACAGAAAAGAGGGGGAAAAAAGTATGAGAGAACAGCAGAGAATAGAGGAACTGTCAACAAGGGTATTTCAGCCCTGGCTGCTCAATGAAAATGGGCTTGCATCTCATTAATTGGTATGCAAATTGGGTTTCTGCCAACTGTGTTTGATGGTGCATGTAGGGAGGGGGAGGTATACCGAGGCAAGAATTCAAAATGTAAAAAAATACTTCTGACCTCTTGAAACATATTCACATCAAAATATAGCGATCATACAGTTCATAAGAGGACAGAGTACTGTATGTGGTTATAAATTATTACTCAATTATGACGCAAATATGTGGCGTCACAGAGCTGAAATATTCACGATGCTACAGCTGCAGCACTCGGCTCCGGCTGTGATTTTCACATCAGTGGCTATCACTTAATTTCACACTCCAGTGAGAAAACACTGTTGTCCCTATTCGTTTATTCCATGATATTAGCAAGACAAACAGCCTTATCTAAAGTTGCCTCATCACATCAGAATTTAGATAACACTTTATTTGGATAGGGCTGATAATCAAACATCAGGTGGCAGTAAAATTAATGTTGTGCAAAGTGGTAATGGCTAATTTATGTACTGCATTTATGTACTGTATCTGTACACTATGTACCCAAACCATCCAACCACAGAATTTATATTTTTAATAGTAACAAAAACCATAAGATGAATCCAAACCTAGGCACTGAATATCAGTAACTTTTTCTTTCTTTCGCTTAAACCTGTAAGTCTGTGGACCTTTTTCTGAAATATTGTTACTTGATTTGTTGATAACACTGAAATATTCAAATAAAGAGTGACATAAATTTGTTTAATGTCATGTTACACTATTTTTGTTGTGATATTGATTTTAAAAGAAGAGATTAATCTTGGCGTTCAACAGCTACTGTGGCTGACAAAAAGAGATAAGAGACCAAGTTTTCTGCTCAGTAAAATTCAGATGTCTGCTTTGGATTCTGTCACTCCCTTTGCTTAGTCATACATTATTTATTTCAACCAACTCGCATATCAGTCTCTATTCAAAGAATTCACTGGTAGGGGAAACAGATGCATAGGAAGGCTTTTTTTGGGATCTTTTCTTACCATCTGTGGGTTTCTTTGAGTTGACAGTGAGCAACAGGAGTGAAAAGATGGCAAGCAAACCAAATCTCTGCTTCCATGCAGCTTAATCTTAAAACCCTTAAGATTAGAAAAGATGCTCTTTAAGCAATCCCAGCACGATCAAAAACCCAATTACAACACATACCCTGCCTCTTAAGCAGGGTCCTGGTGGTCAAAAGCAAAGTTGGAGGCAGTAATATGTGAGCAGCATATCTGAGTTGAGCGCAACATTAAAACAGCTGCAGCTGAGCGAGACAGAGATGTGTGTTGCGCTGCACTGTGCAGCAGCCCATGGCTACTTAGCAGGGAAGCAAGTTACCGTTGGCCAAACATCAAGGTGGATTTGGTCTCTGCTTCATTGTAACTGGAGGGAGAGCAACAGATGAACATGGTGGTGCGACAGTTCCCGCCCAGCGAGTCTTGTAAGATGCGAGTCATTTTGCTGTCACGGTACGGCACGTGGGATTTCTGTACAGAGATAAAGAGAGGAAGGAAGAAAAGGAATCAAAGACAGTGAGAAAGGCATGAAAAAAAGACAGATAGAAGAGGATTAAGAGATTGTGGAAGACTTTCTGAATTGCAGTGCCACCATCCACATGCCTTTCTTTTAAAAAATGAAAAATATGCTGCCGTGAGCATTAGCACAGAACAAAGAGACAAGAGGTTTCTCTCTGTCTGCTGCACCATTCACAATCTTACCTTTTTAACCTTTGGAACATCTTCAAAAAGACTGTGTCCTTGCTCAATGAATAAAGAATGAATGCCAATAGATTTATGTAAGGCATTTACAGTCTGTAAGCCTTTTAGCATTTTATGAGGAGTTCCCTAAGAGTTATAGAGAGTTATATAATAAGAGATGGTGAATATTTTAATTACGATGATGAAACTTGGAAGGACTAATAGACTGGGCACAAGGGATCGAGTGGGTGAATTTGCTGGTTGCTCATATGGAAATAAGTTACCAGCTGTTGCAGCAATTGGCAATTATGGATAACGGCACAGAAACGTAGCTGGCACGTCAATGCAGCATTCATCCAATCGAACTGCACATCAAACAAGGAATATGGGAAGATTCTGCAAAACTCTGGATCACATACGGTGACAATGTTGTTTTTTCTTTATCTTCAGTGTTTTTAAAATCTGTGCATGGCAAATATGGTATAGTTAACAAATAAAATATGGTTTGAGGAATAGCTTGACATTTTGGGTCCTTCTTGCACTCTGCCCTCATTGACTGGCAACCTTGTGGTGACAACAACACTCCAGATGGACAGACCCAGGCTGCCTGTTCCCCCACTTCACTACACGACACACCCCCTGAGATAACTTCCTGGATTAACATACCTATTTTAAACTTACCTATGATCTTTTCCTAAAATTAACCAAGTAGTTTTGGTGCATAAACATAACCAAACTCCGACCGTTTAAAGGGTGTGTCATAAAATATTTGTGACCTGTAGTACTGTTCATCCACAAACAGATCTACTTGCTTGTTTCCAGTCTTTATGCTGAGCTAAGCAAGCCAGCAATTGCTTAACATTTACCATACAAATATGAGAGCAGTATTGATTTTCAGATCTAATTCTGAAGACTAATGCTGAAGACATTCAGGCTGTTTTAATGTAATATGTTAAATTAAGTCACTGCAGCCTATACCCAGTTTTGTCAAACACATTGCTCTGGCAGCAAGTATCAGGTATGTGTTGAAAACAAACAATTACGGGGAAAAGCATTAGGCAGCTACGATACACTAGAGGCCTGATAGATAAACAGGGCAGAGAATTTCTCCATCGTACCGTTCCTTCGGCCAAGGCTGATATGACGTTCCCCAGGGCCGACAGAGACTTGTTGATGTTCTTGGCCTCATCCAGCACTGCTCCCTCTGCACCTGTCTTACTGACCTGACACAGATACACACACATAGAAGGAATTAGATCTTAAAGCACATTATCGGCATAAAAAGTGTTTATTTTCCTGTTCCTGCTTTATTTTAAAGGTTCTGTAGTTTCTTTTAATGGCTTACAATTAATCAATTGTAATTATAGTTTAACCAAGGAAGTCTTTTAGCAAGCACACAGTGCAGTTGAACATGCAAAAAGGTGAAACTTGTATTCAGGGAAACTAACATATCAACATATTTTGTGAATAAAGTTTTCAATAATAAACAAATAATGACTTTACTCAGGTTTAAATGGAGCTCTTCTTTTAAGTTAAAAATAGTAGTAAACAAATACATGCCAAAAATGACATTGGAATTCATTCTATGTAAACTACTACTACTGTATGCTTTATTTACAGCATTTATAATGCCCTGTATCATAAAATGTCAGACAGGAAACACTGAGACAACCAGCTTTTAAGAGGGTTTATGCAAGACATTTTACTTTAATAGGAAAGGCACACCATATTGTGTCATAACTGTCATGGGATACAATTATTTACAGCGAGATAATGAGGAGCTTAATTATAGAGGGGAGCAAGTTGTCCTATCAAAGCCTTCTGTGGAGCATCTACTAGATTCCCATTCTGTCAATAGCATTTTATATCAAGGTCTAAGAAGTTGTTGGAGCAGAACCATTTCCTCCTTTACCCCTTTAGGGATGACCAACAGAACTTACAGATGCAGCATCAGCACTTACTAGCTACAAACCACGGCCGTCAGCATCTATCCAGACTGTATGGCCATCTACTACTCTAAGCACACACTATTCTATAATTTGCATCAATGGTATCAACATTAAACTACACCCAGGAGCCAGAGGTCTTGTTCGGCTGTGTCTTTAATGTATTTTCAGTCTCTTTTCCAGAGTTTGACCTATGTCCTGGAGATAGATTGTTTTATAGATGGTTCAATGAGGCGAGCTGACTCAGATTTCGCCTAAAAGGCCTTGAAACAGGGTAACAATTAGTTGTTTGTGACTCCCCTCAATTTGACCTCTGTCTTGGCTGAAACTTATTTTAAAGCCTATCTGAACGGAAGAAAATAATTTTTGAGAGTTTTTGAGAAATGATTTTTTTCTTCCATCAGTGGAACCAATTGGATTCTTCAAAATGAGCAAACTCTAACCCTGATATTGCATCAGACTAAACCAAGCCCTCAAAAAGAATGAGTCCTCCGTCTCTAAGATAGATTCTTTATAATGTAGAATGTAATAGAAATTTAATGCCTAGCCATAAAGCGAGTGCTTAATAATGCTTTAAGGATGAAGTTCAGAGCTTTAATACATTGTTTATCGGCTTCTTTGATGTCTGAAAACTTCCTTTCTCAGAAAATAAGCCTGAACCCAGTGTTTCAAATTCCTGCTGACAAGTGAATGTTGAGAGTTTATAGAATTTTTGAAAATACCCCATTCGTCCTACCTTCTCACTACCAGCTAGGTCGACAAGGTACAGCTTCCCACTCAGTTTCTGCTCAGTCTCCACGTTTTCTTGTTTGATGTTAATCAGGAAGATGCTGTGACTGCGGGAACTGTGCTCATTCATGTCTAAAGAACAAAGAGAGGAGAGGAGAGACTCTAATTCAGATTACTTATATAAAATGTCATTCAACTCATTATTTCTCATAGCCGGAGTTGTTAAGCTAGATGTTCACTTGGCACCTTGTCATGCATTTCTCACCTTTGCACCTTAATGTTTTTATACTTAAACAGTTAAAAATATCTGACATGAATTGTTAGACATTTGACGTGACAGTGTAAGCATCGGAACATCATGAAGATCAACAGTGTGACTCACTGGTGACAGCAACGTGACGGCTGGCCTTCCCTTCATCTATCACATCCATCACTTCCTCAGGGCTTGTGACAAAGCGCTCTGTGCAGCCCTTAGTGAAAGGACACGTGCAAACATTCATTTGTACTATGAAGAAAACCGAGAAACATCTATACATACATACATACATGCACCAACAAACATAATGCATCTGCAAATAAATGCTTCCATATGCACACTCATTTAAAGTTGCAGATTGAAATGCACGCACATATTTATGTCTGCACAACTACAAACACATTAACAAAAAATACAAAGATGAAAACAGTTTGTCATTTGCTTTACTTCAAATCGGTGTCTTCAAACTTTAAAGCAAAAGTTAAAACATTTTGGGAAATATATCACATTCCTTTAGCTGCCACTTTCATTTTTTAAGGACAATAAGCTTATTTATTCTTCTTTATCTTATTTAGCTTTCTGAGAGCTAACCTTGAGTTATGTTAGTTAGATGAGAAGACTGACACCAATCAGCTGCAGCCAGAAGCCAGTTAGCTTAGCTTAGCACAAAGACCCTATCCTGTCCCTTTCAAATAGTAATGGAACATTGCGTTTCAAATTGACGGGCCCATCAGCACCGCAGTATCATGAAGAAGAGCAGCCAGGCCACCAATTTTGAACGGGAAATGTTTTATTTACACCACATGACATAATTAGCCAATACATTTTTAGATAGTAGAATTTATAGCTTTGCCATTGGATGTGGTCAGAGTATGATAAATATATATGGTTACACAGACTGTATAATTAAAAAAGTGGATACCGAAGAATTTTAATTTATCTTTTTACATGTTTGATGTTCAAAAGTTGGCAGGGCTCCGGCCCTACCGGCTCTACCAGTTCCATGGTCCTTGCCTACCAGTATATTGTATTTTGTTTGCTTAATCCTTACAAAAGCCAAAGCAGGAAAACCACAAGGGTTGTGTCTCAGACCATTCCTCGGCTCTGAACAGTTACAATCAGCAGAGAGTCCTGAGCGCCTTTTACTCTGGTTTTTGTAACAAATGAGATATAACATGTTAATTAATGACCTTTAGAGGTATTTAATTAATTAAATTTTGACTAGGCTCTGGTTTCCCCTTGTAACCAGCATTGGTGCTAAGCTTAGTTAATCATCCACTGGATTTAGCCTTGCTTATATTTAAAAGACAGATATCAGAGTGGTTATCAATCATAATAATAATAAACAAAATAAATAAATAAATAACTCTCCACCAGAAAGCAAACAAGCATATTTCCCAAAATATTGAATTATTATTTTAACAAACATCCATAACACAAACCACATCTACACAATAAAGGGAGAGAAATCTAACTGAATCATTTCAAACTGCCAATGACTCACCTTCACATAAGGAACTCTGTATTTGTCTTCATGCACTGAGAGGTTGGTTTTTGTAACTAGGATGTGAGGGAAAATAAGGAGAGAGGTCACTGTGTTGCGTGTGCAAATGAGCATCTACATGAATCTGTGTTTTTACTTTGGGCTCTATAACTATAAACAGACCTGACTATGTTGCCGTCATGAGTCAGACTCACATAAGTGAGGCTCTTGCTATTAATGCTTTTAATGGCACTGAACTATTTTTTTGCCAAAGTCACAGAGAGGTTAAGCAGTTACTGCCAATGAACAAACAACTTATTTTTTTTGGCAAAACCAGTTATTGGCCCCAATTCCTGCATTAGTCTTTTCACATTTAAAAGTCCTCCATTTATGATAATTACATTTCACTGGGTTGAGGAGGTTGTTTTTTCCTTGGAGACAGTGTGCTTGTGTGGGTCTGTTTTTGTGTGTTTTATCACCCTATAGTCACTTTTTCTCTGTGAAAATACCTCCAAAGGGGGTTGCGCTCTGTGCTGCTTCGATTCATCTCGCTTGTTGTGGACTTTTTTTTTTGTTCATAGCTTAAATGTTCTTCAGCTGCTGTGAACTCCCCTGCATACAGATGGGAGCTTTAACCGCTGTCTCTGGCGCGATTAAAGATGTAATCACAAGAATGCTGCCTACCTCTCCTTGTCCCGGCCTCTCCATCATTGTACACTGGTTATATATCTCAGTGATAAGACCAAGAACTGCAATATTGTGGTGCTTCTGTGTGTATAAGGCGCAAAACCACAAATCTTTATTGTCTGAACCAGAAAAGTTCAAAGGAAAGCATTGCTGTTGTTTACTTGTTCAATTTAATTTCATCACTTTTTGAAGTTTTCAGTTTTTATACTGTTATCATAACTCACAATTATTGCCATGACAACCAGGCGTAGGTTTTGTTTTTATTATTTGTAATGATAAAATACATTATTAATAACCATTAAAAATTAATAATTATTATTGTATTATTTATTAATAAGATTAATAATTAATAACGGTCTTTCTATAATATAAAACCTAAGATGCTATGTAGTACTGTTAATGCACTATCCCTTCTTAGTGAGTACAAACAGCTCTGAGCATTGCTGTGTTTTTGGTTTATGTTCAATACTAGCTTATTTTTAGTAAACAAAATAATGATTTTTTTCTTTACCAAAACAACATGCAGTCAGTACTTTTTGCAGCCCTGGGTTATTTCTACAGTCTTCCATTCAGGCTGTATATAGCCCCAACACCCTCTAACATTAAGGTAATGTCAGACTGCATGTGGACTGAGAGGCGAGAGACAGGGTATAAGAAGTCCTTATACCACTCGTTCCACCATAGGCTACTGCTCATTACGCTTATTGCTGTGAGTGCAATAATTAAAGGTGACTCAGATGAGCATCTGATGTTTCTCCTCTCTTCTCCCATTGGGATTTTGTCTGCTACACAGTAAGAGGAGAATGTATACAGAGATTTTAGTGAGAACATCAATTTGAAACTATAAACATGCAGCAGGAGACAAAAGAAGGATTTTAAAAAGTTAGGGAGACATGTTCCCCTATTCCCAGTGGAAATTACGGCGTAAATGTCAACATCGCAGTTTATTCTGATGCACCTAGTTATAAAGGTTTGAATTTTGAATCGGCTGCAACAAACAGTGAGTTAACAAATTTAGTTTTCACTGTCATGTGTTCAGTGCATAAACACACCATCCAGCAGGTCCCGGATTTTATCCATGTAGATCTCAAAGTAGGAGACCTGCAACAAAACAAAGAACAAAGAGCAGCTGATCTTTGGAAGAAAAAAAAGGGAGAGACAAGAAAAACAAAGTGACACAAATAGAGGGATGTAAGGGATGCTCGTGCAAATATGCCAAAGGCTGTGGCAATAATCTGTCCTCTGGGTCTGACAAGGTATTATCCTCTATTAGAAGACTGCGGTTGAAAAGGGGTAAAAGCACAACAAATATTGCAGGATAATCATGGTTTATATATGATGATTTATTGATGCCTGACTGATTCCACTCAGCCCATGCATGTGAGGCTTACATCAGAGGCAGAAGCTGAATTCCGACTGAAAGTATCTTAGTGTATGACCAAAATTGACCATGTGTGACAACTGCACAAATATACACACGGAAATTTACACCAACCTTTATGTGGAATTCTAGGTTCTCGTCCATGGCAAATATATGTTCAAAGATGTCCTCTGAGATCCGGGGAATGATACCCATTCCCTCGGGATCATGAAGGTTCCCCTACGACAAGAAAGAAACCCGATAAGAACATGTGAGTGAAGAGTAGGCATGCACACCCTGGGACAAATTAAGCAGAGAGAATAGTAAAAGAAAGGAGAGCAGAGAGGTTTTTGACTTGAAAGGGAACAGAATTTTTTCCCAGAGAGAGTTGTAAAGGAGGTTAGTTCCCACTCCCCACAGAAGGCTGGTTAAGATAGATAGTGAGTGATGACAGTGATGGAGGGAGAGGTAGGCCAACTGTCAGGGTGAACAGAGGAGCAGATACTCTATAAAAAACTGTGTGTGTGTGTGTGTGTGTGTGTGTGTGTGTGTGTGTGTGTGCCACAGCAAGATGTCTACCTTTTAAATTATTTAGTGATACTGTACCTCCATGGTGTGTGTTTTTCCAGAGGAGGTCTGCCCATAGGCAAAGATAGTCCCATTGTATCCACCCAGTACATCTATAATGAGAGAAGAAAAAAGCAAAGAAGAAAACAATGTGAAAATGAAATGAATAATAAGAAAATCTGACAGAATTTCCGAATTCAGGTGTGTAAACATTAAGACAGGAAGGCAGACAAGCACCCAGACAAACATCTTTTGACCTTTGCGCCAAACTGTGCCTCAGAAAGCCTGTGTGCACTTAGAGGCACGTGGTATTTAAGCTTGGTTAGGCGCTGATCGACCTCTGTGGTTTCACACAATAAACAACCTCTACCTGCAGTGTTAAAGTCACCAGGAGGCTCTCAGTGAAGTACCAAGCAAGTATAGATATATTACCCTCTCCATTCATGTGGTAGGAGCCACACTGAAAACAACACCTCATCATCATTTGAGGTTGTAAAAGCAGCGCATGGCTGAATGTCATATTGCTGACACAGTCTAATAAACCCCTGTGGTAAAAGTCAAACATGGATAAAGCAAAACACATCACCCTGAAAGGCCGGCTGCCACTGGTTAGCTGAACACAGACTAATCACAAAGGCCCTCAGCTGAAAACATGAGGCACCTTTTCCCTCACTCCCCTCTCCTCCCTCTCCTGTGTTGCTTTTACTCTTGCAGAACTCAGCTCAGTAACATGTCTTCTTCTCTCTGCACGCTGGACATGGTGAGACCGAAACAGAGCATGACACATGAGAGAGCAGAGAATAAAGAATCTGTTGCTGAAAGGAAATAAAGACAGTGGGAGATAAGATCGCTAGACAACAGAGACAACCAGAGAGGGGAAACATAGAAGAGAAGAGAGAGAGGAAAGACAGCATGAGTTTAAGAGGAAGACAGTGAAAAGGGCAAAGAAAGACGCAGCAAAACAGAGAGACAGCCAGAAAGCGTAAACATGCATATGACTCCAGACCAGCTTGTTCGCCCTCTCCGTTACCCTTTTCCCCTGACACATTTCAAATCTCACTTTTCATCTCATTCCTTCCTTCTGCTAAATCCCTAGCCTTGAATTTTTCAAACCGTGCTCTGCGATTCATCTCGCCTTTTATTTCCATCCTTCCTCAGCCTACAAGGTAATCTCACACTCTATAAGTAATCTTTTTTAACAAATCAATCTCTTTTTCATGCTCCATCTAGAACTAGCTCAACGGAGCTCCACACTCACTTTGAAGGTGGCACAAAAATGAGACCCTAACAAGGGTGAAAAGACAGACAGATGTAGGGAGATGCAGACGGAGAAGGAGGGGCGAAGGAAAGGAGATCTGACTCCTGAGGGTATTGGTTTTGTTTGATCTAGTGCCTTGAATACAGCAGTCCCGCCGTGCTGTAATAAGCATGCATCTTGTTAATCAGTGCATTTTGATGCTCATACCTGTAGGTTGTGTGACTACATCGTATCATGGAAATTGGTTTTCTCACTGCTTGTAGGGAGCTGCTAATGCATGCAGTCAGTGACTAAAGAGTTAACTGACAATGCTGTGAAGGGTAAATGCAAGGAAATGGGGATTCGAGGTGTATTGGCTTTCTCCCTTTTGTGTCACTCATGCATCTTGGACAAAGGCTATGTTTGCTTAGCTGTTTACATTATGTTCTAAATGTGTCTCATATTAGATTCTAGGGTGAACAGGTCACGGTCTGGAAGACCCGCATGACGAATATTGATCTGGAGTGACATACAACTCACATGACTGTTCACACTGAGGTTACTTTGCAAAAAATCTGATCTGTGTCTGATTTGGACCACAAGTGAAACATATAAGACATACATATGAGCAAAAAACATGCACATGACTCACCTTTGACAATCTGCTTGGCGCAGGCGTTGTAGACCTGTTCCTGAGTGGCGTTAGTGGGGAGCACCTGGTCAAATACGTACGACTTCCCCTGTGGAGGCCAACACAAACACAGTCAGCTGCAGACAATTCTGCTTTAGATTACTGTCAGCACCTCATTCTTCCCTTGTGACTCGCTGTAAAATCCACCCTGGGAAGTTTGTGAAGCAGAGCACAAGGGTGTGTGTGTGTGTGTGTGTGTGTGTGTGTGTGTGTGTGTGTGTGTGTGTGAAAGAGAGGGAGATTTCACACATCATGTTTATCAATAAAACATTACGTAAAGCCATATTGTCACTATTAAATAGAGCTGCATCAATATTTCCTTTACGCATAGTGAACATGTTTTATGAAGACTGTGTCCATCTGTGTGTATTAGGCCTGAATAGCATCACATATATCACATTAAGAGGCCCATCTGTCTCTTATGGTGGTATGCATCCCGAGTGAGTGTGAGTTTGTCTAATTTTATTTGTGTGTACTATGTGCTATTGAGAGGCAGTGGGTGTTTTGAATGAGTGCAGTGCAGCATGAAGCCTTGGGCAAAAGTCTGTGTGACCCCGAGAGAGACAAAGAGAAAGATCACATCTGAGTTGAAGCCATTAGAGGCAATGTTCAAGGACTTCAAGAGTAAAGTGATGGAGTGGAGAGGAGAAATGGAGTGGAGGAGTGGAGCAGAGGAGTGGAAATGCAGAGAGCGCAGAGGAAAGTAGATGACCTGAAACCAGTGATTGCATGTGAGAAAGTGTGAGAGAAAAACACAGTGTGAGAGAGAAACACACAAAGAGTGAAGGGGAAAAGAAAAGAGAGTCTGTTTTTCTGATGGAAGCAGGTCTCATGTCAGTTAACAAGTCTGTTAGTCAGTGAGGCACCAAACAAGCCAGCCAATCAGCTAACTATCAGCCATTAAACAAGTCACACAGCCAAGCAGACATATGTTAATTCGACACACAAGCTTGGATTGCCACTCAACCAATTAATTAAGCAAGCTAGCATCATTCAGCTGAAAAGCAAGTTCACCTTAGTCAGCCACTCAGTGCATCATTCAGTCACCCATCAGCCAAGTTCTGGTGATGAGGATAGTGGCTGAGAGAAGTCTAGTCTCCTTAATAAAACATGCCTTACTGCTAATGGGTTCTATTTTATGTATGAGTGTGTATGTATGAATGTATGTGGGTGGGTGTAGGGAGGCATATATGTGCATAGAATTCACAGTCGTGTCTGTAATTGTACAAGACAGGCTGGACCAGCCGTAAGGCCTGCAGACATCCGCTGTGTGAAGCATAAACACTGAAGAGGAACTGAACAGTGGCTTCCTAAGCTGTGTTGCATTGGTAGCATACTTTCACGCTGTTCTGTATTTTCTATGGACTTTTTTGTCTTTATTTGATAGTGTGACATTAAATAAAACATGGTGAGAGGTCAGGAGATTTGAATAGAACCGGGAATGTCAGAATTAAACCACGTCACCACCCCTATTTATTTGTTTTATTGTCAGAATGTGCATTTCATCAAATAACAGTTCGAATATGACACAACCAGACATTGGACTCATCTTGGTTCTTGATCCATAATTAAATGTAAAAAGGTGTCATTTTAAAGCCTGCAGAAAGGGCACTTCATCTTATGTAATCTGGATGTACTGTGTAATGAACAGAGTATATATAGGCCACGAACAAACTGTTTTACATTCTATCCTTATTGTCCTGAGGGTTGTATAGTGAGTGGGAGCGCCACATTACATAAGCAAGGCATTAAATCCATACAAGCTGCATGAGTCTTGTGCTATTCATGCCCCTTCACTGGGAAAGAGAAGATATTTTTTGCTATGGGGGAAACACATTATTTTATTCAGATAAAATAAACTTTATTGATCCCACAGGGAGAAAGATTAAGAAAAAAATTAGGGATTTTAAATGTTTAGACATGGAAAAAAGAAAACGACAGAGAGAGCTGCTCCAACAAGCTGCACACATGGTGCACCATCTTGCACGTTATTATTTTAGATTGGTCTTAATACACTCGTCAATTGCCATGCGAATGCTTTTTACTGTTACATAATCTACCATAAAGAAAATCACATTCTAGTATGTACATGTGTTTCTGCAATTTACATAAAAGCTATACAACTCGAGAGGATGCTCTAAACCAAGATTATGTTTGCACCAGCAGGCTGGGGGAAAATACACCAATAATCCCCTGCACCTCCATGTATTACATATGGGCCCAGTTGCCTCTCAGCCTTTCAAATGGCACATTGAACAACAACTCGACACAAAATCCTAATGCACACAAATTGATCAGTGGCTTGAATAATAAGTTCTGTTCCCAGCTTTCAAGGATGGATTCTTTTGTGGTTTAACTCACAATTCTTCATGTTCCTTTTCAGTTCACAAGCACATTTATTATGTTGGCTTTCGAGACCGTCCACCATTCATTTTAGGGAGTACACAATTGTATTATACTAAAATAAGGGAAGAAAAAAGTATTAATTTTGACCATTTTGGCATGTAGGACAGTAAGTGGTTTTGGTTAAAACTTTCAGAAATTAGATATTGGTACTTACTGTTATACACAGCAGCTTGTTCCATTTCTGTGTTGCCATGGTTTAACATGCTGCCTGATGTAGCCTGGGTCTATTGTTCGATAAGTTGATACACTGAGACAGTAAAATAAGAAGAGTATTTAAACTTCTATCATAACAGAAGAGTTCAACCTTGTGATCTTTTTCCACGCTTCTCAAGTAAGTATTTTGAGACCAATATATTAAGTTGATATATTGAGATTAAATGAGACTTGCTATTTTAGTCTGCCAAGAGAATCTAGATGTTTTTCTCTTGCCACTCAGGCTTCAGACCTATTTATAAAGAAAACCCACTAAGGAAGGAAAAAAATGCAATTTGTGCCACTCCCAAGAGCTGTAGTTGAAAATAAGGCAGCATTACTGCAGAGTAAGGAACTGAGTGGGAACATTTCCACAATGACCTCCCACTTTACAGTTCTAGCTTTGCATAAAATAATTTGTTTGTGACAGAAGGTGGAGACAGTTTGGAAGAATTCAAGCTTCAATTTTGTGTATTTCTCTTCCATTTCTTAATAAGCTGAACTGTTTAGCTGCTGTGTTCAAGTGCTGTAATCACAGCTGCAGGTACAAACAAGCTTCCCATCAGAACTGATTAGGGCTGTTCCCATTAACCATTTATACTGCTACACACTACACACATGCAGAGGGAAGGGGGGGTTGGGTATAGGGAGAAATCATGATGTGGTCTTCATTGGGGTGAATAAAATGAGTCAGTTATATAAGCAGAATGAAAAACAACCCTTTGCCAATCATTTGTTCTGCTAGCTCCATCGTTAAAGCACTAATCTTTTCCTGTGCTGCATAAATATAATAGCATAAATGTAATGTACTCGACATTCTGTAAGCTCTCTATCTCCATGTCCATCTCTCAGCCTGTCGGTCCAGCTATAGAAACACTAACTTGTTTGTGTGTTTGTATAATTTAACGGATGTCTTTTCAATTATGTGCGTGCACGCTGATGCAGAATGCTGGAATGGGAAGCAAAGTGCATCTGCATGTGTGAGGTGTGTGTGTGTGTGTGTGTGTGTGTGTGTGCAGATAATATATCAAATTATGCCTGTACATGCAGACATTGTTCATAGCCCTCAGCTTTGTGTGCAATGTCAAACACCCACATGCCCTGTCCAGCCTGCAATCTGCTGCTGTCTGCCAGGAGACAAAGAGGCGGTGGGTTGCAGGCAGAGAGAGAGAGAGAGAGAGAGAGAGAGAAGAGAGAGAAAGAGAGAGAGAGAGAGAGAGAGAGAGAGAGAGAATTAAAAATTGCAATAATCAACAGAAACAGTGAGAATCATTGGCAAGACAAGGAGAGAAAAATCAGTGAGGAGAAGTGATGAGAGTAGAAAAATAAAGACATATAATCAGCGTATACTGCAACAAAAAGAGAGAGAGAAACGTAATTACGATAAAAAAAAGGAGGGGGGGGGAGGTGGAGAACATACAACAGACAAGAGAGACAATCGGCTGAAGGCTCAAGAAAATAAGTTAACAAAAGCCAGGAGAAGAAACAAGAGAGGGAGGCAGGGTTGCAGCAGCAGCTGTTGAATTTAGATGGAGGTCTTCTTAAAGGCCCTTGGGACCAAAGAGGCCCCTCTCCAACCAGAGGGCTTGGCATGGGTCTCACGTACATACAGCGTACAGAGACATTTAAACCCAATAACTTGCCATGAAACAACAAAGCATGAAACACAAACAGATATTAGAGGGATGTTCTTGGCTGAATCCTCAGTAAGTATTGATAGCTTAGATAATTGGTGTTAGCTCGCTGACACTAGTTAACACTAATTAGTTAGTACAAGGTAGCTAATTTCTATTAGCATAAAAAATAGAAAATAAAAAATATAGGCTACATAACAACGTGTATTTTCACTTAATTTCTGTGTTTGAGTTGTTTTTATTTAGGCATTTAAAATCTTCCATAAATAATAGGCACCGTGGTCCTGGGAGCTAAATGCTAATACATTGTAGTTTAGCGTGTTAGCATGCTTACATTTGCTAATTAGCACTACTACAGCTCAGGAAGATGACAGTGTTGTTAGTTTTGCAGGTATTTTTGTCATAAACCAAAATACTGGAATATTTGAGGAATGTTATTACACTGTGTGTAATGTGTACACCAAATTTCCCAAAGGTCTGCCTCATGGTAGCACTAGACAAACTATCAGGCTATCACCAAAGTCAGTAGGATACATCCCTTGGGAACAAATAATTTCATCGTAATCAATCTAGTAGTTGTTGAGATAACAATAAAAAACAATACCATGCACTCTTATGGAGAAATTACCCTATTTCTCACTTGATTTATTAGATCAATCAACAGTTTCCTAATGAGTTTATGGTCTCAATCTCTAGTTTCAAGTCTTCTTCCTTACAGCATGATGTTCATTTAGTAAATTATGAGTAAAATAGACCATAAAGCAAAAGTAAGTAGGCAGTAATGATCAAATATGAATCAAGATTCTGTTGCTGCGTT